CTAAGGGCGTTAATAAATGATAAGTTACCATCATCGTTCATCCCTGCATGGTCATGATCCGCGTGCGCGACGTTACCAAACGGGCGACCGGGCGCAATTATTAGAGGGTGCGGTCGTGGGCCGTGGCCACAAGCCACGTGATACGAACGACGGATCGAAGGTCAAAGTTGAGACCACAATCTGCATGAAGCCTTTACAGATTCAAGCTTCGGGTATCACAATTTTGTCAACAACAATCATATGATCGAGAATGTTCGAGTTCGGACTCAGTATATTTCTACAGCTAACCTCTATGCAGCAATATGTACAACGATCTGTGAAAGTCACACGCAACGATCTACACAATAGTGATGTCAATGTGGCATTGAATTTGATGCTGCAAGCTTGCGCGCGCACTGGATAGAACCTTGCTCGATGCTACACACTGACCGTATTGGTGCAGTGATTGCAACATGCACCTTACTGCGTAGTCACAATCAGCTTGCCCACCGCGTGTCCCTCTATGCTTTTCTCCCAGGCCTTTCTGGCATCACCAAACGAGTACGTGCTATCGACAACCGTTCGGAGCTTCTTCTCGGCAGCAAGGCCCACCAGTGTCTGCAAGTCCTTGGAGTTTTCAACGCAGGTCATAGGAATCAAGCGCTGCCTAGGAAAGGTGACAGCCTGCAGCACCGCCCTCATGATGTAACCACCCCCCGGGCTGAAGCTGATCATTTTGCCGTTCTTTGTGAGCACCTTCCGGCAGGCGGCCCACGGCTCCTCGTTGTACGTGCAGTGCAGGATGGCGTCATACGGCTCCTTAGACGCGCTTTGGAAGGGGTTGGAGGGATCGGCGACGTTCTTCTAGTCCAGCACCTCGTCGGCGCCCAGGCTCTTGAGCAAGTCGAAGTTGCGCGCGCCCGCGGTCGCGGTCACGTGGGCACCGGCAGCCTTGGCAACCTGGAACCAGAAGAAAGGAGGCGGTTCACCAACTCCAATCCGAGGTCCTTACCGCTTACACAAACGACCTACCCATGCCGTTCAGTAAGGCTGGTTGTGAACGGCAGGGTTGCATGTGAAGAAAGCTGATTGCTTCGAGCTAGATTGCACCGGGCCACGTTCATCCTTTGATATGCGCTTTGCTTCCAGGTTGTGGCCGCTGTGGAAGAGTTCAAGAGCGCCACGTTTTCATGGCAGAGCGGTAGAGCAATCTTTGAAAAGCTCGTTCTCAGGATTCAACCCAGCTTCTTCGGGTATGTCCAAAATCGGTTTCAGCTGCGTCTGCTCATCGGTCAAAGCAGAATCCCGTCCCACTGCATGAGGCCTTTGAAGTGCCTGCTGTACCGTACTAAAACCTAGATGGGGCACCCTGCTCGTCTGGGATCGTTCAAATGGGAATTAATGTCATACAATAGCAATGAAAACCATGGAGACTAAGCTTGTTTTTAAAAGGCTTTCTTCCAAAATTTCTCTCCTCACCTGCACGGCATAGTGTCCCACCCCTCCGGACCCTCCCAGGACTAGGACCCGCCCGTTCGATTTAGGGAACGCCCCCGCCTTGGTCAGCCCCTGCAGCACCGTCCTTGCCGCGACCGGTAGGCCCGCCGCTTGTTCGAATGACACCTCTGGGGGCAGCTTGGCGATTGCGGCCTTGGTGTCAACGGCAGCGTACTCTGCCAGAGCACCTTGCTTCTGTGAGAAAAAAGTGAAAGAGCTGTGGCTCTTGCCACTTGGAAAAGATATCTGAAATGCATGTCACGTATGGTAGGAAGGAAACAGATTCGAGGTCGTTTGCAAGCGGCATGTAAGGCGAGCAAGGACTCTGAGTCAAGCTCCATGCGCATATGAGTAGACCGAGTTAGGGCGGGGCTTGGTTGCGAAAGTGGATAGGGCAGCTCATTCTCGCAGAGATGACGTCTTTAAGTTAGTTTAAGATACGTGAAGATAGGTTAAGGTATTCTGCTGAAATAGTTCCTCCTGCTTTAGCTGAGCATCATAAAATTATCGGCACTGCAGGAGGGGCCTGGATGACACTTTGTTGACAATTCGAAGACTTTTTGGATCTTGTCGACTTTGCCGTGCACGATCAATACTGGTGAAGTGGCCAACAGCCATTTATAAGAAGAACCTTACCGTCATGTTAGTTTGTACCGCCACTCTGTCGCCGACGCTAAGGTGTGTTACGCCAGAGCCAACAGCGGCGACCGTCCCAGCCATGTCGAGGCCTGCAGACAGGCGTGAGAATTTACGAGCTCTGCCATGTGCCATCTTATGTGTCCAGACGTCAGATGAAAGAAACACAATGGAAACACAGAAAGGTCGGGATCGTATTGTCAGCAGGCCTGGTCAGCTCCTGTTGTTAAACTCTTGTCGGATTTGAGAAAGGCCCGAGGGTGAAGACTTCAGTAGCGTTGACTCGCTCAGAGAGCCTGGCTCGTGAAAAGACCGACCTGGGGTAATGGGGAGGGTGAGCCGGATAACCAACTTGGCAAACCCAGTCTGAAGCTTCCAGTCCACCGGGTTTACTGAAGATGCATGGATCTGCATTGAAAATTCAAGGTCGACCTTTGTTCATGTTGCGAGTGGACACTTCTGTGAACATTCCAGCTGAGCCAACAATTTGGAATCGCATTTCGTTTGAAGTTCTATCTTTGGTGGGACGAATGTCTTCGCAATTGGATCCCCAGATGCAGAGCTTCAATTTAAGTTTCGCACTAATTAGGCCTGCAGCTCAATGCATGATCATGACAAGCTTGAAGCAGCAAACGACAAATCCACATGCTGCTTCAGCTGACCACCAGTGCCTCCTTCTGTGGGCACCTTAGTCGCTAAAATTTGAATTATTCATCAGAGGGCGTTATAACCAGAAGAGGCGCACAGAGACATCAGGTTGTAGAAGCTCCTGAGCTGACCTCCCAAGCTCAGGAAGCGCAATTCAATGATTGCCTATCATTTCCTGCTTACAGCAATTGCTCACCTTCAGAAGAATCTGGTTCTTTCCAGCTTTCGGCACGGGTATCTCGACCTGCTCCAAGCTGGTGGCGCCACCACCGTACTTATTATACTGCCAGGCTCTCATTGTCTCTGGAATATTGGCAGCCATTATGATAGACGGTACTCCCAAGAGTCAGGGCAAATTGGCGGAGAGGGTCTTCTCGATGCAAGTTTCGTACTTGGTCAAGCCAGCTATGGTATATGAATCAGGGAGGCTTGTAGAGACTTGCAAGAGCGAGCAACTTTGAAGAGTGAAAGAATGAGATCATAAGTGCTGTCTAATCACTTCCTTTGGTCTTTGTTTATGTGGCTTGGGACTAACAACGTCAACCATTGAAAGCTAGATCAGCCTGCATTACAAAAATTGCCCAGCAGTGCTGCATTGCGGATCTTTGAGGACTCTGAGACGGTGATCATGAGCCAAGCTGCATTGCGGGTTTCCAAGGAGGCGCTGAATGCCTTCCAGATTCCAGGTTCTGACACCTCCAGGCGCAAATACCTTCAGATTCAAGTTCATGCCTAGCTGATTTGGACAGGCTTCCTGCCGGAGGATATCCCGAGTTGGAGGTCCAAAATGCATTGCCATTAAACATCACCCTGGCCGTCCATATGCAGCCACGTGCTTGAGGCACTTATGCCGCAATTTCGTCACGGTCGCAACGCTGATGTCACTCAACAATTGCGCAGAAGCCGCGGCCGCCGAACCAATCTTAAAGTGGGCGCGTAGGCGTCACGCCGGCGGCATCGCCGAAGTGTGACGGCGGTACAGCTTAACCAAGTGAGCATCGTCCGATAGATTCAAGTCGTGCTTTTCTGCCGTCCGATTGCAAATGCACTCGCGAGTGCAGACGCCCACTTTAAGGGCGCGCGCAATCAGTAGACGACGATACGTGACGTCACTGTGGCGGCCTCCCAGACAGTGAATTGGAACAGGCCCGGTGGCGGCAGCATATACGGATCTGCAATCTGGTCTAGTAAATCGGTGGCTCTGCAATGTGCATGACTATCCTGCATGAGCTGCAACCGTGCACCGCCTCGGCTTTCCAGCAGAGTAATTGCAATAGATCGTACGACTTGCAGTGCAGCCACCTTTAAGTTTGATGGCCTCTCCAGAGCTTTAGAATGCCGAGCCATGGACGTCATGTGCCAATGGTATGCATCAGTTAAGGCATAGAGCTTTTCCTGCCTGATGTATATCCAGAGAACGGGTTGCATTGATGCATTCAAGAATTTATGCAGACATGACACGGTGATCATAGTAGAGGCATCCTGATCATATGCCCCAAGGAACACCGCACATGTCTTATATGCGAATCCAGTTGATTTTTCTGTGTAGATTTCGAAAATCTACACAGAGCAGCAGACCAAAACGTAGGGGATTCCATCTGTGTGTGCGTCGGAGATGCTTCCGACGAGGCTGCATTGGGTAGGCCTTCGTGAATAGTACTTCAACACATGAACGGTTGATACTTTGAACGTCAACCTTTGACGTAAGGAGGGCTTGGATGAACACAGTTTCGACGAGTTGGTCAAGGTAACGGCATAGTCATGCCGACGAGCTCATAAGTGCGAGATAGACTTGAGCAGTTGACTGCATTTCTTCAACACTGCCCATCTCAACTAGGAACAGCGGCCGGCTTTTTCTCGCTTTTTTGTTTCTTCTGTGCCTTTGCTGGCTTTGGTTTCGGAGTGGGAGCTTCATCTGCGCTTCCGGGAGCTTCCAGCCGGACGAACACCGGCTTTGGCTCCGCCATCTGCTGCCCCGCCTTAAGCTTGCCCCATGCGGTGTCGGCCTGCAAATCGAGAAACATGAGAGGATCTCAGTCGACGCTGTCACTCTGCGTCTTGTGATGCGAGGAGGTCCGTGAAGGCCCTCGTCAAACGAAGCGCCTTGCGGTAGGCCTTTGCAACAACCGCTCCCGAAGAAGCTGCACTCAGCATGAATGCTGCCGCATCACGCAGGGCAAAGTTAAGGAACAAACAGACTCAGGATGCGAACCACACGACATTGCATTGTGTCTATGTATCTTCTTGCTTCGAAATACCAGCAACCAGGAGCGCTTGCTTTTGTTACAAACAAAAAGAGCCGTCAACATTCGGATGAGATAAGTAGAGGGAACTTGCAGATTCGTCGGGTCTCACTCTTCCTTACGCGCCGCAGAAAAGCGCTGATGCCCAAAAAGGGGGAACGGTTAACAAAAGGCACTTACCCACGTGACCGCCTTCCAGTCGTCCTCGGAGTAGCCCAGCTGCAGGTAGATGCGCTGCGTGACACGTGGCGCGATGGGGGACAGCGTGATGGCCAGGATGCGCGAGGCCTCGAGGATGGCCAGCAAATCCAGCGCGGCCTGGGCCTTCTCAGCGTCGCCTTTCTTGAATTGCGACCACGGAGCCTGGAAACAAGTATAGATGGAGTGCGTCAGGAATTAGACAGGAGAGAAGGGCGGCACCCGGAGTTGGGGTTAAACGTGCTGTCAGTTGAAGTAGTAACCGGCTGTACTCAGCGTCTTGAACACTGCTGCTTCGCAGTAGTGCGCGCACGCCTTCGGAAAAGAAACAACGCAATGCAACTCAGGGGAAGCATTCTATACCGTGAAGCGAACGGCTGAGCCCAGAAAAGTATTGGCAGCAGCTTTCAAGCCGTCACTTACCACAGTGTCGATGTACTCGTTTCCTGCCACAGCAATGGAGAGCGCCGCCTCTCCGGCCGCGCCAAACTGAAGGTTCGTGTACTCTTCGGCCGCTTTTTGAACCTGCAGGTACGCCGTGACAAGCCTCATTTAATGATAGGCAACAAGACAAGCCTCCAGTCAAGGCAAGAGTTGACCGTTCTCTTTTGAACTCACATGTGGTGAACAGCATTCTGGAATTTGTTGCTAACGCTAGCGCTTAATCCATTGATGGAGTGCAGATGTCCCGAGCCACGCCGCATAAATTCTCTAACGTGATGACCTGTCCAGCGGAAGGCTTCTCACGACTGAACGCATTTTGAAGAATATTAGCACGTGCCTAGGGAGTATGGCCTTGATATTGCATTAAAGGCGAGCAGGTCAGAGCGGAGTCTGATCACAAGGGGCTTAGCGACGTACTGCGTTTTTCGTTACTAATCGGAGCGGGTGGTCTTCTGGCAGCGACGACGCGTCGGCTGTCAACGCCCCTCCGCAGTTCTTCTTCAGCAGGCCCAGCGTCCGGTTCAACAGATTGCCTGCTCAGAGCACGGTGCAGATCAGACGTCCGCCAAGACAGATGCCCCTTACGGGAAGCCAATTGATTCAGACTGGTGGCGTCCATTCGAGAGAAGTCCGTCGCATTGCTCAGCTGATTATGCGCCGTTCAGCACACCCAGCGGAAACCATCCTTGGGGGATCAGAACGGAAACAGGGTGCAGAACGGCTGGAGATCGTCAGGAAGCATCTGCAAAGCACTGCTGGAGATCCAGAAACACGCGGAACCCCCACTGCGCAGCAGGAAAGCAAGCCTGCGCTTCGTGAGAAGCACCAGCCTTACCTATGGCGTTCGCAAGATTTGCATTCACTATATTGATAAACCGCTCCTCCGAAAAGTCCCCGTCCTTTCCAAACTCGACCTCCTGCATAAACCAACCGCACCGGCTGAATCTTAGCAGGTTTACTTTGAGCCAAAAATAATAATCCAGGTAGTCTACGAGTTATATGGTTCTGGTGGGAGATCCTTGATACTGAGAGCGGCTCGGGAGAGTGCGTCAATTCAGGACCTCCGACCTGAAAGCCAACCTTCTCAGCCATCGCGGCTCCAAGATTGTAAGAAACTAACCTGATCAATCTCGATTATTGCTCGAGTATCGTGGCAGCACAACAAACCCAGCAAATCCTTTCATTCTTTGCGCCTCGCTGACCCAGAGGGACTCAGAAATGGTTCATAGCGTCTCCACACCTCTACAGAACCGACACAGGACCCTTTCCAAAACTGTTTCGAAAGCCGAGATGGTCGAAAGTCAGACGGTCGCCTCCTTTACTTTTCAGTCTCTTCTTCGAAAACAGAAAATGCGATAAGCAACTCACCTTGAGGAAGAAGTATCGCACGGCATCGGAGCCGTACTGTTTGACGAGCGCCGTGGGCTCGATGACGTTCCCCAGCGACTTGCCCATCTTGAGGCCGTCCTTGGTGAGAAAACCGTGGCCGAACACGGAGCGCGGCAGGGGCAGCCCCGCGGACAAGAGCATGCCCGGCCAGTACACCGCGTGGAAGCGCAAAATGTCCTGAAGAATAAGGGTGAGCGGAACAGGTTCATTATGCAGAGAGTGTGGTGAGCGAAAGGACGCGAAAGCACCACAGGTGTCCGGCAAAGCGGAAAGCAAACATTCAAAGAAAATCTTGTTGGCCCTCCGCGTGTTAAAACACGAATAAAGGGGAAGCTTGAGACGGACAGAGCGAAAGTGAGGTTTAGGGTGCCGAGATTGCGGGGCGGAAGACCGCATGAGCCTGAGTATTGGGGTCGAGAGCGAAGTGGGCTATGCTTCCGACCCTTCCCGAACTGATATGGCAGATCGAAGGGGAACTCGGAGTAGCCGACAGCAACAACGCGTAAATACCATTTGGGAGCTAGGTCTCAGATGTAGTGTTGGTATAATTTCACCGTCATGGAAGGTCGTCTCACGCGTAAGTCAGTTCCCGGCAGCGGGCAAGCCTCCGCGAGGCATGTCGAGCAGCTTTGAGCTCAGCTCAGCTGTCCGATGATAGTGAGGAACTTCAGTCTCAAATGCTGCCTGTACGGTGAGAAGTGTTCCCAGCCATGCGAGGATGACAAAAAGGCTTGCGAAGGGCTCCCTCACTTTCCCGATGATGTGCACCGATGCCGGCCAGCCTTGCGCCACCGCGTTCTCCAAAGTGGGCTCGACACCCTCCTTCAAAAGCGCCGACACGTACCTGGCAGACACGCACTATTAGTCAGAAGTGCGGGCAACTTTGGCAAGCCAGTAAAGCACTTGCGTGTCGAGCCATATTTTTGGTGGAAAAGAGGTGATGTTGCGCTGAAACAAGCGAACGGCTTAGCAGCGGAGGCTCTTGCAAAGTTCAGGAATTGACCAAGTCCTTCTGAAGCTGCCAATGAATTATCTCCCAAAACGGTACGCAACTAACAAAGGGATGGCTCTTAACAATTTAAGTCTTCATTCCTAACTCGGGTCACTGACGAATTCTTCCGACATTGACCACAATCAAACAGCTTCCAGATACAGGTTTCTGGGGACTCTGGCCCATTTCTTGACTGGCCGCACTAGATTCTTTCCCAATTTTCCTTGCTGGCGTCATCAGAGAGCCTCGTGGCTCGAGGATATCAAGCCCCCAGTGGGAGGAGCCGAGCTCACCCGAGGAGAGCGTCAAACCAGACGTAGACTGTCTGCTTGGGATCTGCCGGTATCCGGATGCCCCACTCGACCGCTGCCCGCGATATTGAGAAGTCTCGCACCCCGTCCTTCACCCACTCCAATACCTGCGGACAGGAGCCCGAAAGAGATGACTTCGAACCTTTTGCAGGTAGATTGTGCCTCGAGCGGCTAAATTGTTCGAACCACTTGCGCCAGTTGGTTTTTAGGGAAATCCTGATGATAAGTATGACGTGCGTATGCTGATGGGAACGCCTTGCCACGCCGTGCCAACGGACAGACTTGGCTCATTCCCAGCAAACAAATTGCGCCAGAGCCGAAGTGGGTGCCTCTGCCCTTCTGCGCCTCTATATTCGGCTCGAGATCGAAATAGGCGTAAACTTCAGAACCACACTCTGTCAACTACAATTGAATCTCGATTCGACAAACGGTCAATGTGAACAAGAAGCTCCCCTGTGGTTCTTATACAAGTAGACGGAGTTCCGCTGCCCAAGTGACATCGAAGAAACAAGTGAAGCTGACGAAGAAACAAGATGCTCACCTCGTTTTTCCTAAAAGTTGGCCGGACAAAGTCGGGGTTCGTTTCAAAGAGGCGCTCAATGTCTGACTGGTAGTTGGACAGCTTGAAGAAGAAGTTGTCCTCCTGTCGATGCTGGCACGGTTTTCTGCACAAGCACACGCCATGTGAGAAACTTACGCAGATGTTGAAATTACGAGAACGCTGAGGTGATTGTCCTCTTCGGACTTCCAGCATCTATCTTCATCATTGAGTGGGCGGCGATCCCTCTTGTCAGAGCAAGTTCAGTCGGTTTAACAGCCGAGTACTTCAGAATTACTTCTCTAGAACCATCTGGAGATGATGGCCTTCTGCCACATAAAACCGCTTGTCGTCCAGGCTTGTGGGATACCAAGTTGAAGCAAAAACAGTTGTCTGGATAGGCAGAAGTTCACCTATGTGTTGGGCATACGATCTTCTCCCCGCTTCCGTCCACCTCCGTCCCGATCAGGTCCTTCTCATCCTTATACTCTTCGCAAGCAACGCAGTACAACCCCTCATACTCGGCCCTGTAGATGTCGCCCTTGTCCCACACTCGCTGAATTGTTTCCGCAACTATCTGAGAAACACAGAGCGTTTTGTTGGTCTGAGAGACTTGAAGAGTTCTGTTTGATTGCACTTCAACCACTGCACTCTGCCTTGACAGAAACCAGAAAGGATGTCGTTGCAGTTGCTACTTACAATTACTTTCACAACGCACAAAGCGGAAAACTAATGAACGTTCTGCTTTCCAATTTATCGACGTTGAACACACCCAGTTTCTACGAAGTGGCTAGTCAGATGGTCAAACGCATCCAATAGTAAAGGCAACCGCCGTAGCCGTTCACCTTTTCGTGATTGTCATTTGTTGTCCGTATGAAGCTGTCATACGAAATGTCCAGGTCGTGCCACAGCGACTTGAACTCCTCAGCTATTGAGTCCACAAACTCCTTGGGCTCCTTTCCAGCCGCCGCAGCAGACGTTGCAATCTTCTCCCCATGCTCGTCAGTTCCGGTGATGAATGTGACTTTCTTCCCTTGTAACCGCTGCGAATCGACAACAGGATCTAGTCACTTGACTAGACAAACACAGCTTGGGTTCTGTGACTTTGAATCTTCGACGCGATTACCTCTCGGACTCTTCGTTAAAGTGACCCATCGCAGACAAATGGTGCAATTATCGTTGTGGAATTGTGTGGCTAGGAGTATCATCATGGCTTCCAAACTGACCAGTAACTTGTGAATCTTTCCAGGATTGTGGGGTGAAGCAGCGTGTGTACCGAGGACCTCACAAAGTCCAACTTCTCGTTGCCTCGTTCTCGTTCTGAGCCAATGGTTTTTGAGCGCCAGGGCCATGGAGTGCGTGGATGATCTGACAAAGCAGATTCTGGTGGTGTACATGAGGAGGGAAACCTGCTTACCTGGAAGCGCGCGAGGGCGTCAGCAGCGAATGTTGGATAAGCACTCCCCATGTGCGGTGCTGCATTAGCATAGTACAGCGGCGTTGTGAGAGTGAAGTGTTCCACTTCTTGAGCATCTGCCCCACCACTTGCAGTGTCTGCCGTTGCAAACGTTCGTACGCGTTGCCCCTTAGACCCTGGCCGTTCCGTTCTCAAGCAACCGCATGAGGGCGTAATGTGACTCCTATACGAGGTGCTAGCACCAACTTGTTGCCTTTCACTGCCACCCCCCCGCGATGGATAGTCATGTAACCGTCCTAGAGAAAGCGGGTTTTGTAACCTTTCGATTGGGTCTTCCCTATCGCATCTCCTGTGCTTGAATCCAGTTTTTCGCAGCACACCCCAGCATCTGCTTGACTGCACACCTGCGTGCACCTGATCAACAACACACCGCTTCGTGATGAGCGCCCCCGCCTTGCAGAATGTGGCGTTGCGGGAAGCAAGGAAAGCAGAGGTTGCCATGCTGCCCCTACAAAAGAAACCCTGCCAAGAAAACCTCTGGCTTGAACAGAAAACTTAAAGGTCAACAGGTGCTCCGCAAGGCCATGGCGTCTGGGTGAATGCAACTTCAGAATCCTTCAGGTGTTCCACTCATCTACATTTCAAGTGAAGTTGCATGAAGAGACAACGTTCCGGCCACCACTTTACTGTATGAGTTTAATGCGCGGTTATCTAGACGTCAGGGATCGCCTTCGACACGAAGATGTTTCGACCAGGACTTCCTGTACTGGCCACATATTCATGTGTAACACCACCTGCAGGGTCTGAGGAGGGACCTGGAGGGTTCATGTAATAACCTCAGGGTTAGATTTTCGCAACCCGCCTATGCACAGATTGGCCAGCCTTTCTGCAAGACAGATTGATCAGCTAGGATAGCAATCGTGACGAGAGGCGCCATCCATCGGCATTGGCATCGTCGTTGGCGTGGTGAGAATGACAATGACATGCATTTTAAGGTGATCTACTGAAGTACCTTGCTTGTTTAGCTAGGCATCATTGCTGGACGTTGACGGAGCTGAAATAGAGCGTAATTTGAGGACGGCGCTTTAGGAAAGGGACTGGCGATTGAACCGTGGACGACTTTTCTGCAAACGCAGACGGAGGGGGGCACGAGTTGAGGCATCATGGGGGCCACACTTCCTCCCAAAGAGAACAACTTGTTCAAGCTCGTTGTGGTAAGCATGCCCGGCACTATTTGTGAATTTTCCTGAGAGATTCGGCAGTCTACTGGTGTTCTGATTGGAAATGTTAAGTCCATTGAGCTGCGCCATTTTGTTAAGCACTTGAGTTTGTAACCATCAACCTTGCAAGAGCAAATGCTTATAGCTTCCTTGTAATGAATGCATCTGCATGTTTGAGACTGAACCAAGGTTGATGCCATCCATGTGGTAGGGTGACACAGTCTTTTAGCTTTTCTCATCAGCAATCTCCAAAATTGTCGATTATCTACCCGCACCATCGATAGATAAAATGCTATTCCTTTGAAATGCTTCTGATGCAAACAAGCGCCTTGAAAAGTAGGCAAAGTTTAAAAGATAGCTTGTTTGACCGGTTGCCCTTCCGTATGACGCCGTTGGTAATGGTCAGTCAAGCGCGTTCTTTGATACACAGTCTGCGCTCCTGCATTTAGCATTTCCCCCTTCATTGTCAGATCTAGTGACTTTAAAAAAGGTACCCTGCACTCAGAGATCGCTCTGTAATAATTGCATGCACGCACGCTTTACTTAAAACTCTTTGCACAGCCTTTGTCAGCTTTAAAGCCCCTGGAAATTGCTATCATTGGTAATGGTCAACAATATTTTGGTGCTCCTAATCAAGTTTTTGATCAGAATGTCCGGTAGGGGTTATAAAAGGTGCCCGTCTGCAGAAAGTCCTGAAAGGGGACCTTGAAGAAGCTTGAAAAAGATATAATGGTGGTGCAAATGTCAGAAGGTTTCGGAGGGGCCAAAAGGGTTTCTCAACTCTCCCAATGCAACGAAGGCAAGGAAGCCGTCTGTGATGGAGGCACTGTATTTGTAGTTACAACGGCAAAAGTCCGTACCGCCGGAGTTTCGTTTCATGATGAGTTTGCATATCTAGAAAGCTTTCTAATGATCTCGTCAATCGCCTCTGGTGCAGAAATCCTATGAGACAAAGCAGTACAAGAAGGGGCTGAAAGCAGCGGATCAGGTCCTGAAAAAGTTTCCAGAACATGGAGGTGAGCTATAAAACCACTGAAAGCACTGTGCCAAGCTTGATTGCTAGTGCCAAGGCAGAGGAGAAGCGGTGAGCGGATCCTTATTTTTGAAGCTTGCATTGGATGCTGCCCACTGAGGATTCACAGACGAGGTTGATGATTGGAAGTTGGGCAGTGCTGACTCCGCCAATTTGATCTTTTTGGAACTGCTGTGCTACTCATACAAGCTTCTGCACGCTACCTTCAGCACGAGATTCAACAATTAAGAGAAACTGCTTGTTCACGATCCGCTTTGGTTCACAGGTGCAGTCTATCCTGTCGACTAACTTGAACTTATCTAAACTCTTTTGGTGACAGAGACTCTGGCTATGAAAGGCCTGACGTTGAACTGCCTGGAGCGCAAGGAAGAAGCGTACGACTATGTGCGGAGAGGTCTGAAGGTAAGGCTACGTTGAGCCCCACTCTCGTGTTGTATAGAACATGGGGCACCAGCAAGGGCACGCCATTCTGGACGCTCGAAAAACCGTCAGAGTCTGGCGGCACTATCGTGCACAGTATTTCGGATCAAATTCTATTCTGTGAAAGCAACGTATTGCAGAGCCAGCTTGACCACCAACCGGCAGTTGCTTGGCAAGTCACCTGACTACCTTTCTCTGTGTCCTGGAAATGCTATTTGGTGGTCAACTTACTTCTACTCCTGTGGGCATCAATCACTTGAATTTGAAAGTCTTCGTTTTTATCGGGATTCTCATTTTTTTGATTGGTTCATGGTTCGGCCTCGTTTTGCAGCCTAGACCAACTAACGCCATTTCAATTTAAATTGACACCGCCCTGATTGCTGGCATGGTTGCAGAACGATCTGAAGAGCCACGTGTGCTGGCACGTTTACGGTCTGCTGTACCGGGCGGACCGCAACTACCGGGAGGCTGCCAAGTGCTACCGCAACGCCCTCAAGCATGACCCGGGCAACAACCAGATTCTGAGGGATCTTGCAAACTTGCAGGCAAGGTTCTTTTCAACGCCCTCCGACCCTCGTGAGGGAGTCACATAGTGGAACTCCAAAATAGTACAGACTTTTCACTCTGCTGCTGCCCAGGGCTGGGATGCTTGCCATCAAAAATGGGCCAGCTTGAAAGGAAATTCACAAAGAAAGCCATTGCAGAACTGCACGTTCTTGTCCAAGACAATCGCAATGGATGATAGTGCGACCAGACAAAAAGCAGAACACGCCAATGTTTGTCAAGGATGTTGTGCCGTGTCTGAGTTATTCGCAATTGTTCTCCAGGTCCAATTGCGGGACACGGCTGGGTTTGTGGAGACCCGACGGGAGCTGCTGACCACCAAGCCCAACAACAAGAACAACTGGCTTGCATTCGCGATTGCCCAGCACCTGAGTGGCAGGTGAGAATCGCGCCCGCTGTGTTGCACGTCTGGTTGCCTACAGTGGCATCAGAGTCCGGTTGTTACTTCCATTGCTGAGGAGGGTCTAAGAAGAGCGACAGCGCAGTCTTGGGTTGTTGCCCTGCAATACGTGCTTGAAAGTGAAGAAAAGGGGACCATGTTCCACTCCGCAGTCTCGCAACCACAAACACGAACTCCGAGGAACTCTGTAGATGGGAGCACCCGTTTCTTTCGATGATCGAGCTGATGATGAACAACCGGTGTGTTTTCGAAACCAGCTGGTTGACTGTTCGTGAGCCCAGTTCGGTTGTGGCAGGTGAGGGAGGCTTGTATTCTTTGTTCAAAGTCGTTCTGGTTGGCTAGCGCTGTCAATCGAGGCTCATTTGCGGTTGGGCATGTGCAGGCAGCATGTGGCAGTTGAAATCATCACGGCTTACGAGAAGACTGTGGAGGAGTACCTTGACAGCGAACGTTACGAGCACAGCGAGATGCTTCTGTACAAGGCAAGACTTCGCAACCACTGTTTTTCTGCACCCCAGCTTTGAAAGTGCACCGAAGTCATACGGATGACTTTTATCGAAGATGTTGCCGATTCAGCTGCTTGAAGACACGGGCAAAATTGGCAAACGGACACTGTTTTGGAGCAGAAGGGTGACATGCGGCACTCTAGGGCGCCGTTCTCATTTACGATGTCGGAGATCTCTACAGGTCCTGGTTTTCGAATCATTCAGCAGGAACAAAAGGTGTCGCTTACTTTTTGGCTCAGCTCTTCAGCGAATATGGGTGTGATGCCACTCTTCCTCGCTGTGCAGGCTATGTTGATGGAGGAAGCGGGCCAGTTCGAGCAGGCCCTGAGGCAGCTAAAGGAGAACAGCGATCAAATCGTAAGCAACTGAGTCCTAAGAACTGCGGCCTTTGAAACACCGGCCGTAGCCCTCGAAGCTTACATGCTGATACGTAGTCCGCAACACAGACCCGGCAACAATCCCGTTGCACAATTACACTGCTGTCGAGCAAGCGAAAATTGGCTTCAAGATTTTCCATCGTCTATCCTCAGTTAGTCATGAACGGATTGTTCGTGTCACTCTGTGTCAAGGAGGCAGCGAAATCTTGGGCGCCTTTACTCGTAACATCCTTGACTGATTGGATGGTTGCTTTCTCTAGGTTGACAAGCTGTCCATCCGGGAGCAACGCGCTGCGCTGCTGCTGAAGCTGAACCGCAACGCTGAAGCCGAGAAGGAGTACCGGTACCTACTGGCCATCAATTCCGACAACTACAAGTAGGTTCCATACCCGGCTTGCGCATTTTTCTGGGATTGCTCCAATCTGAGATGATTGGCCGCACCAGGCTTTGCACTGCGCAAAGAAAGTTCGATGTCAGACCAGTTTAGTAAGATCATTGTCATGGTTGTCAAGACATGGTTAGCAGCCGTCTTCATCGTTGAGTCCATCCGAGCCAGCGCCTTCCAAAATATTGCCGGCTGGAGTGAAGCAAGTGCGGACTTGCTGACTGCGAATCTTATGCGCCTGCAGCTACTACCGCGGTTTGGAGGCCGCACTCGGACTTCAGGCGTCGTCCGCAGGGACATGGGACGACAACCAGGTTGCGAAGTTGAAGACCCTGTACAAGGAGCTGCTAGAAAGGTTCCCACGATCGGCTGCGGTCAAGGTACGGCCTCTCCTGGTTTCCGTGGGTGGCAGTGATCTCGGGACCTGCTTTCGGAACCGAGATTTCGTATTCGCATGATGTTCAAAGAGGCCATGTTTGTCAGACAGAGCCTTGCAATCCCTTTTGGACGTACTCTTTATTGGTGTGAAGATCTGCCTAAACGCTGCAAGTTTGCAGCTTGCGCTTGTGATGCATTGGCTTGCAAGTGTTACTTCGGGTTTGATTTAAACCTGAGCTTCGCTTTATTGTCGATCAGCGGAGCTCGTGACCTTACATGGATCTGGAACCATCAGGGCTGTTGCAATTTTGCCCGCTGAAACGAACACACATCCCCCGTCTGTGCAGAGGATTCCGCTCGACTTCATAGAAGGGGAGGACTTCCGAAAAGCAATCAGCCAGTATCTTCCAGCTTTCCTTCGGAAGGTAACCCCTGCTTTGCTTTCTTAAAACCAAGAGAACGGAACCAAGAACGGCCCTCTTCGGCTGGGTTTACATGTCGAGGTTCTCAACTGTTTGCCGGTTATGCTGTTAGCGAGGCAAAGTCGCTCACAGCGTTCTGAAGCGGAGCCGCTCAAGTTCTGAAAGCGTTTGTTTGAATTGCTGACACTCCGTCGCTGTCAGCGTTGTTGGGTACGGGCAGCCAGTGCGCTGTGAAGAACAAGTCGCATACGTGGGCTTCGTGCTACCTTAGGGGGTTTGCGGAGGCGTCTGGTTGTGGATTCAGTTGTAAGGGTGACGTCCGGCATCTGCCAAGTCGATCCTGTTGAGTTCGTTTGACATTCTTTTGACGTTTTGGCACAGTCAGCTGCATTTTGGAGCAAGTGGTCGACCGTTTGCTCGCTTCCTCTGCTCCAGGGTGTGCCGTCGCTGTATTCGGATCTGAAGCCGCTGTACAACCAGCCTGGCAAGGCCGCCATCATGGACGACGTGTTCAAACGGTTCGAGACGAGCCTGAGGGAAGAGGGGCGCTTTCCCGCCGAATCAAGGTGGGCTTCCTGGACGCAGCGTACTTTCGTGAAGCTCACTTCGAAGGGTCTATCTCAGTTGGTGTCCCTGGGGTTGATTACATAATTCAGAGGATGGCTGGATTGTTCAAGATGATTGGTTGTTTGTAGTCCACTCGATTTGCCATGTGGATCACCGTTCTGTCATTTTGGTACAATCGAGACAAATACAAAACTACCTACGGTTTTGAACGTCAAGTTGCAAAGCATTGTGGATATCTTCGACAGCTAGTAACGGCCGCATGCATGCCGTCATCGTTCATTTCCTCTCTCCAACCGCCTCTCTATGTGCCTGCAGTTCGTCGTCAACAGACCCAGAGCCCCCTACCACCCTCCTCTGGACGCTCTTTCTTCTCGCACAGGTTTGCAACCTCCTTGGGGCTCGCCGGTGCTCTGCACTGCTTAATGCTGAACGGTCTGTCCTTGAGGCGCCACAAGCGAAATCAGGCTTGTTTTAGATCAACAACAAAACAAGAGCGGAAGACTTGCACGAAACGGAGGTTCGCGCTCAAGGGAAGGAGCCTTTTGTATGCCCAGGCACTGCTGTTGTCTGTAGATGCAGCAGTCTGCCAAATGACTTTGTTTCAAGCACCGATTGTCGCGTCCATTGAAACAGTTGTCTCCTTGTGAATTCCTTGCAGCACTATGACCGCCGGCGGCTCTATGACGTCGCGCTGGAGAAGGTCGAGGAAGCCATCAAGCACACGCCCACCGTCCCTGATCTCTACCTAGTCAAGGTGGGTTCCTCTCAAACCTGAGCGCTGGGTTCCATCAGCCAACCTTGTGTTCGGATTTTGGCATGATTGTTCACTTCTGTGGTACCCCTGGACTGCAAAGCTTCTTGTTAAGAAGACGGGAAGGTTCAGACCTTTCTCAACCCTGCCATTTCCTTGTTGCAGGCCCGAATTCTGCGGCACGGAGGCGACGCCCCGGCAGCGGCGGCGCTTGCGGAGGAGGCCCGGTCGCTCGACTTGGCGGACCGGTACCTGAATAACGAGGCAGTGAAACGGTTCCTGGGTGCTGACCAGGTGGAGGACGCGGAGCGGACGGCGGCGCTGTTTACGAAAGACGGGGAGCAGCACAACAGCCTGTTTGATATGCAGTGTATGTGGTGAGCCAGCTGGCACGCTTGTCTGACGGGCAGGATTACTGTTGAAGGCTGAAAAGGATTCTGTTGTCTTAAGAGAAGTGTTAGTTAAGTGCAGCTGCTCCTGAGGAGGCTACAGCTCCCCACCTAGCGTTCTCTGATGTCTTCGTCGGGCCTCTGCTACTGGTGGCCGTCGGTTGGCGTGCATGGAAGGCCTTTGCCAGTACTAAGCATCCAGTCCTGTTGATTCTTGACTCTGTAGTAGCGCGGCCTCCTGTCCAGCAAAGTCAGCTTTATTGCTCACTGGTTGTTATTTGACTTATCCATCGTCTCCATTCCTTGCGAAGCTTACTCGATCCCCGGTGCTCTACAGGTACGAAGTTGCTAGCGGAGATAGTCACTTGCGGCAAAGTGCCTATGGGAAGGCGCTCAAAAAGTACCTTGCAATCGAGAAGCACTATGCGGACATGGTGAGGACCTTACAGGGGCTGTGGCCCAGCGCTGTCTTTTCAGTTCTTTCCCAAGGCGACGCTTTGTCCAGAATCTCATGCAGCCAATCTTCCTCAAGGCACATCTTCGAAACGACTTGTAAGCAGAGCAGCTTCGACAATTCCTCTGCGGGCTTTGTAGGCTCCTCTTAGGACCTCAATGCGTAATCCATTTCTCTTGCAATCTATCGCCCCGATGGAATTGATTGCAAGCATGTGGCCCACTGCGCTTGGTTTGTGCTAACGCCCCAATTGGCCGGCTGCAGATTGAGGACCAGTTCGACTTCCACACTTACTGCCTGCGCAAGATGACGCTGCGCGCGTACATCAAGATGCTGCGCATGGAGGACCACCTGCACAGCTTCAAGTTCTTCTGCAAGGGAGCCGCAGGCGCCATCAGGTGGGTGCTCACGCTCCTTACTCGTCTCTCTTGCTACCCTTTGTCAGATAAAAGATGTGCCCTTTGCGGACCCGTGTTTGAGCTAAAGTGAAATGTAGAAACTTCAACTTCTTGTTCCGAAGTGTGGCTTCATGCTGTTCGTGGGGTGTGAAGCACGGTACTGAGTACAGGCATTGTCGGCTGGTTCCATCGGCTTTGTCCCGACTTTATATGAGGAACTGTCGTCGGTTTTCTCCCCTGACATTCTGCAAAAGAGAGCCGTTGTTTTGCTTTGCATTCGGAACCCGTCTTGGAGGGACTTGCACAACACATTGCTTTCTGTGTTACTAACTCATGCAAGCGGAGTAGTGGTGCAAAAAACCTGCAGTGTAAGATACAATTTATGCAGGGAACGAGCTCTGTCGTGTGTGAGCTTCCGTTCTGCCGGCAAATCGTGCCTAAGGCCACGTCTCTCCATCCTTACAGGACATACATTGCTCTATTTGACAAGCCGGCGCAAGGTGACAATGATGACGCCGACGGGGCGAACTCAGGGCTCAGCGCCTTGGAACGGAAAAAGCTGAGGGCCAAGCAACGAAAAGCTGAGGCGAAGGCAAAAAAGGTGCCATAACGTCTTCATCTGCAGTGTGAAAGAACCATTGGCACATTTCTTTCATAAGAGGTCAAATGTCCGCTCGAAGCTCGAACGCTGAGACTCAAGAGCCGGATAGGTTGTTCTGAACGTCGCTTCATCTGACACGTTGCCTCGTGTTGGATTTTGGATTCAATGGCTCTTTTTGCAATGTCTCCTTGCTGAGGAACAATGGTCAAGACATGGCGCCTTATCCAGAAACTTGTCCGCTGGCTCGGCAGGCGCGCTTTATTGGGGCCACCTCGGGACTTCCGACTCGTAGTTTAGCAGTGACTGCTTTGCAGTACTCGTCTTGCCAGCTTTGCATTAGCTAATCCTTTGAAAGTACCCCATGCAGCTGACGGTCATTGCAGACGATGTCAGACTTTTGGTTGCCTTACCATACTTTCTGGTTTATCTTTGTTCAGGCCGAGGAGACAAAGCGAGAAGAGGAGGAAAAGGCGGCAGCGGCAGCGGCTGCTGCGGCCGCAAAAGAGAAAGGCGGGAAGAAGCCCAAGGCCGAAGCTGTGAAGCCCGCAGATCCGGATCCGCATGGCGACAAGCTGGCTCAGGTAAAGACCGACTCCTAGTATCTCGATGCAGATTCGCGATCTGGTGTTTCCTTTTTGATTGTTCTGAGGAGGCGCTTCGCCTATCCTCAGGCAGTGATTCTGCATTTATCAAAGCGCTTTGCCTATCCTTAGGCAGTGATTCTGCATGCCCAACGACGTTTTCGTCGCAGGTTGGTGGAGACTGCTCAATGTTTACACACTCTTTGAGTTGTTTCCGTATCTTGGTGAGACGAATTTTTTGCCCACTCGGAGCGGCTTCCGCGAGTGAGTAACTTGCTATCGAGCTTGTGAATACCCTGAAGGGGTTGTCAAAAGTATTCAGGATGTTGGACGATGATAAAAAAGTCGTCTGCTTTGTTTTTCAGGTAGAGGACCCGCTGTCGGAGTCGGTGCAGTACCTGCAGCTGCTCCAGCAGCATGCGGCGCAGGCCATCGAGACGCACCTCCTAGCCTTCGAGCTGTACATCCGGAAAAAGAAACTGCTGCTAGCACTGCAGGTAATGATCGCCCCAACAGAAGTGGAAGAATTTGTGAAAGCTAACGAGATATCCCGCTCGAGCGCAAGTTGGATAACGTGCTTGCTCTTCCAGGAGGAAATTCGCTTGCACATGAAAGGCAAGAGTAAGAAAGTTCCTGAAGCTCTTGGTAGAGATTCTTGATCCACAGTCGGAGGAGCGCTCCTGGTGGGTCAGAGACGTTACTGTAGCGTCATATCTTCAAGATTGTCGCTTTTATTTAGAAGGGCCTTTTCTTTAGAAGAGCATCCTGATAGCTTGCCGCACCACTGTGAAGGACGGAGCAAGTGTATAGTCGGTGCTTTTATTCGCTTCTGCTGAATCAAGTCGCTCACCATGTTTCTGTCCTTGTCATTGCAGGCAGTAAAGCGACTCGTGTCAATAGATGTTACGCATCCGGACGTTCATAGAAGCCTGGTGAGAGAGCGAAACCATCAGTTGCCCTGAACATGTACCACGAGTTTTGTGCTTGCGACGCATGTGGTCTCAAGCTTATGAGCCCAAGACTAAAATTGCACACCACCTGTTTTCAAGAGGGATCGGTTGGTTTGGTTTGAAGTTTTCGAAAAAGTATCCGAACGTGCGTCCATCTATGAAGGCACCGCTTCGTACTCTTTGATCGGCTTTCTTTGCCATAGGCGCTGCCTCGATCAAGACCTTGATCTGAGAATACGATTCTCTTTCACTTGTCTTATCACACCACGTCATGTGATTACCTTTTGGGAAACATGCACCGCAAGGAATGAATTCAAGGGCGTCGAGAAAGAAGGGTCCTGTCAACTCTGAAAATCGATGACATCGCACCCAACTGATCGTCCTTGCATTCGTTGCCAGGTCACTTTGTTCCACACAGTAGACACGTCACCAGCCCCCGACTCCGAGTCGGCTGAGCTGGTGCACCGCGTGATTGCGGAGGAACGGAAAGAGATCACAGCGCTGGCGGGGCAGTCGCTCCAAGAATACAACGAGGCCTTCCTCAAGGAGCACTCCGGTGAGCAGTGGAAAAGTCCTTACAACCAAGGCAACGCAGCAAATGCCTGAGCGAAGTCTGGGGCCCCAAAAGAAATCGGACATGATCAGCGAAGTCGTGGGGAGCAATTCGTGAAAGGAGAAATCCAGAAAGAGCTTTCGAAGAAGGTTTAGACAGAGATTTTGAGTTTATGTGTAGCGATTGGTGGGGTTGCTAATACCCTGCTGCTTAAAGCTCTCCAACCACGGTGGTGTAAAGGAGGAAACCGTGGCATACTCTCTTCAGAGTCTCGTGATAGCGTTCATCTCCCTTACTTAGGAACCATTGATACGACGAGAGTTCGAAGAGTTCAAAGGGCGTTTTGGGCTCCTTCCATTCGCCGTCTCGTGCCGCCTTGCTGCTCTTTGAGGCTCATCCTTTTCCTGTATCCTTTAGCCTGCTCTTGTTACTGCTTTTGCTGCTTGTTTGGATTGTTGTGCTAATAGGTGATTCAAACTGTTTGCACGAGTCATTCTTTTCCTGCTTGTTCCACGAGATTGTGTCGATTCCTGATTGCACAGCTGCCTTCCGCTTGTTTCTGAATCCTCGGAACACTCTCCTTCGTTTGTCCAGGATCTTTACTACATCGAGCAGCCGCTGCGGAGGTTGTCGTGCTTCTAGATTGTAGTCGAACGGCCGAGGCGGTCGGCATCGTAGAAGAGGCGTCGGCGAGGGGGGCTGGCAAGTGAGTGCCTGCGTTCGTACTTGTTAAACTGATCTTGGGAGGTTCTCTAATTCAAAGGACGAGTAACTTTGAAAGCAGAGGTTCTTCTGGTGCCTGAGGCAAAGACTTGGTCATGGAGACAACTGTGTTCCTGGTTGCATCCAGGAACGAGGCTCTTTTCCGCTGTGCTTTGTTTGACACAACTGTTGCCTTAGAAAGCTGTTGTTGTCATTCTGGAAGCTCGGGACTGCTTAGATGTATCAGCGGACTTGTTGTGTTCCTTCCAGCTTACGCCTCTACAATTGGAAGACCGACGGCCACCCCTGAAGGAGACTCAGAAGTCAAAGACTGTGCGGCTCCTTCAGCGCCTCCGGATCTCAACGCACAAGAAGAATTGAAAAGCTGTGAGTTGGCTATCCAGTTGCTGGACAATTTCTAACCCAAGCGCTTTCTTACGTTCAGGGATGAGGCCCTTGCAGAGGGGGTAAAGACGTGGGAGCTCAAGGACTGTATACGAGTGCACCGGCTGTTGCAACAAAAGCTGGGGGATGCGAAGGCGGCAGCCCGTAAGTTTTCAACAGGAGCTCCTGGCTGCTGGCAAGCTTACGAAAACGTCCGGGAAATGGTAGAAGCACTTTTGCATGCTTGTTATCGTTGCAGGACGAGCATGACTGGTTGTAGGAGTGGGAGTTCAGATGCTAGAGCAGAGACATATGCGTCCACACTTCGGCACAGCAAGCAATCCGAGGCAAGCTTCTTTCCAAAGCGTACTAGAGTGGGATGCAAGAGGCTTGTTTCAACCTAGTTGGCTGACAACTTCGCTGATTCTCGCTGATTCTCGCAGGATGGAAGGAGCGGTGTTCTGGCTACTTCCCGTATTCCACCTACTTCCAAGGACCAAAAAGCTCTGGGGTCGTGGGCCTCCCAGTGTCCCAAGTGCAGCATCCAGAGTTGCTGCCAGAGGAGAATGCTGGGAAACTTGCAAACGGGGCGGCCACTGCTGTTGAGAATCTCCATATATAGAGGTCTAATGAGAACCGCAAGGCTTGACCGAAGCATTGAGAGGCCGTCGGATGTTAGTGTCTTGCGGATGGCGTCATGATGACGCAGACAGTACATTGAATTGAGGTCCCATTGAAAGGCTATGCGAAGCTAAGCCTGCATTCCGAATCCATAATTCAACCCGATTTTGCACTTCAGCGCATCACATACCCTGCGCTGTTCAAGTTGTCACGCCATGTATGATCTGCGCATCTAGGAAAAATCAAGAGGTTTGCAAATGATCAAGGTGTACATGCGACATCTAATGAAGAATCCCAGCTGACTGCTTGAAATTGCATATGCTTCCTCGCTCGCATTGAAAAGCTACTATGCCATGTTAAACCGCCCATTCGGGACGGAGCTGGCCGGGAATAGCACGGTGCGTGACCAATTTTACATCATGGTGCGTGCATGCATGGCTCCTCATCATACTAACATGTTCGCTTCCCAACTTACAAGTGCCTAAGTTTTACCTTAACGTCTTGTCTGCACATCAACTTGCACATGTGGCTACATAGCATGTGCGGGCCGGCCGGGAAATAGAGATTTCTGCGTAGCCCTTTGCTTATGTCGATTAGGGGATCATCCGATCAGTCAGGATATCCCTGTAGATTGCCGTGCTTGTTTTAGTATGCATAAATCCAGACGGTGGCCGGCAACTTGAAATAACGAGGACGTTCAATTCTCGAGCTTTGCGTACGTTGTATAGGAAGCTGAGTATACACGCTACGCAATCAAAGGTTTCTTGAAGTTCTGGTGCATTCAGCTGCTTGTAGTCCCGGCCCACAACCAGATTAAGGGTAGGGCAATGGCGGTTTAAACAAGGGCGGACTGAGTCGCAATCACGGGTTATGATCTGCCGCAGATGGACTTCGGCGATGATATCCGACGGTTGGTTTCTGGGGCCCCAGCGTTGTCTTCTATCATGTCTTTGAAGTAGATCCTTCAGTCAATCGTGGCTTCTGGATTACTGTCGGTTGAGTAGCTCGACCTTACCAAACACTCTCTACGTAAGTAATGAGGCACTTGGCTCAAACACGCGTTCAGGTCGTGGATGACTACGGTTGTTATTATTTGTCCTTTCTCAAGCAAACGCCAATCATGTGCCCATTCTTGCAATCTATCCTTCTGCTTGTCTCCTATTTGCCTCCAATGCCCTTGTTGCTCAAAAGCACTCTGGCAATTGCTAGGTGGCTCGATCTTCCGAAGTACGCTGACCCAGTGACGGATCAATCGGCGTCCAACGCCGCCCCGGCCGCTCAGCGCCGCGCGGCGGCAAGCCTGGCGCTATCCGGCACGGCCGCCGTCCGGCTGGGCTCAGATACAAAACCCTCGAACCTCCGACCGGCCGCGTGAGCTGCGCTTTGCGTCCGAAGCCGGCCCTGTACGCGTCGGCGCCTTGTATGGATAACAAAGTCAATCACTTACGTACGTTGTAGTGATTCAGGAAATGGAGCCTCTCGCTGGTGTTAAGGTCTACACCAAGCTGCAAAGAGCTCTCCAAGCATCAGACAAGGGAGCGTGCCTGGGGACCCTCGTGAAGCTCGACTTCAACGAGTTTTACCGGCCAGAACTTCAGGAGGCGCCTTGGGGCTTCCCAGAAGAAGGTCCACAGCAGTATTACCCTGATGCAGAAGCGACCGCATGTGATGATTACCTGGAAGAATCGACTCCGGACAATGGATCTCACTTGGACGCAGGAGAGGAGCACAACGGAGCACTAGAACATGACCTTCTTGAACAAAAGCTGAGGGGAGTGTATCCAGAAAACTTCTGTTGTGGAGGCAGCGTTTGCGTCCCCTCTCATGACGCGAAAGCCATAGTGCTCAAGCTCTTGGCTGGGCCCAAGAAGAAGCAGGGGAAGATTACCTTCGTCAGCAAGATCGGAGGTGAGTCGTTGCTTGTTTCTGCAGAGGCACTTCAGGAGCAGCAGGCGATAATCTTGTTCCAACCACAACTGGGAGCATTAAAAAGTGGGTAAACCCCCGATGCTTGTCACAGTCTATGCATCATTCTCCAATACTGCCGGCTGATAGTGCGGTCTATTCCCTTCTTTGCGTTTCACCAGCATAATGTGCAGGTGCTGGCTGCAACACCCAGGCTTCAAAATCTTACTCTTCACTGCAGATCAAGCAAACGGCAAGGATACGACTCTTATCTGACGGTAGAAGAAGCAGCATAGGCCTAGTCTTCAAACCTGCTTGACAGGCATCCAGAAGCAAATGGTCTTCGTTCTGGACAGATCATCTTTCCCCTTCTCAGCAAGGACCTCAAACTGTCAAGTATTCTTTGTTGACTGCAGGCAACAATGATGTCACGTTGACACGGGGCCTCTTCTCAAATCTTGAGGTGTCGGATATCGTTGCGCATGGCCCCGTGGCGAATCCGAAAGACTTGGAAGAAGGATCTACAGAAAACGAAAATAACCCAACCCACGGGCCTGGGAGTCCTTTTATGACCTGGATTTTGACTACTCCTGGCAAAGGGGTGTCCTGCCACGAGACAAGCTGATTGGTTTGACTCCTTTGGTAAGGATACAAGGATTCTACAGTTACTCGACGGCTACGATCTTTTCCAAAAATCACATTGAATAAAACAGATTTAAGGACGTACCTTAGCACTGTCCATTCCCAACTACGTATGAGCTCTCGAAGACCTGATTTGTTTATGTTGGATCACGTTCAGATTCAACATGACTTCATGTCTTGATTACAAGACTCGCAGAAAACTGCATCGGTCTATGATCAGCTTGATCAACTTTATCTTTTCATCGCGAGCAATTCCTGGCAATTTTGTTGTTACTGATCTTTACACCAACTGGTTTGTTTGCAGGCTGTGCAAAGCATCTTTTACGACTACGGGGAAACATCGGGAGACGCTTGGCGCGCACTTCAACTCACCGTCGAGGATGTCGACATCAGCAGAGAGAACGTCAGACCTCTCAGGTTTGGGAGGAAGCGCAAAGCGGACGAAGCCTTCAGCGAGAAGATCAGAGTCACTGCACAGGTAACGAGAGCTTTATTTGTTGAATGGATAGACTGTAATCTGACAGACCAGCCTCATCTACAACGTCTTTAACCATTTCCTGCTTCTTAGAAGGTGTAAAGGGTGACATCAAGGACAGTCGAAATAGATAGGAACGAAGTAAGCTATGACTTACAAACAGACGCTTCCCTTGAGCAAGTCCGGCAGAAAAAGGGGCCTTCATGCGCAAAGATCAGAATGCATACTCACGTATAGGATCAACCTCACTACTCGCCAGAGCAAGACCAGTCAACTAGGTACCAGTCGATAGTTTGGGGCCGCTTGAGCATATATGTGCAGCTCCCCCTCTTTTGAGTTTTGACACGCAAACAAGAGGACTGGCTGCTTGACTTACGAGTTGATAGTTCGGCAGGTGCGGGAGGAGAGCCCAACATTCACCGAGCATCCATCACACCGCACGACCGTCCGCGCATCCAGAAAGGAGACTTATCCGATCATTCCCGAGTCCCTCTCTTATGAGTGTGAGTGCGGGGGATCGTCGACGCCGCGCTTCTGGCTCTTCGGGCCCGTCGTCTGGTGCGTGCATTCCTTGGCAGTCCTGGAGAAGCTGCAGGATACACAGTGGTTCAGTAGGCATCGGGACTCTCAATACAACGAGGTGAGCTAATCACGGAGGAGCGGATAGCATAGGGAGTGGTGCTCCGCACTGCACCTGTACTGTCGTCCCCGCTCCCTCGGACTGCCCTGAATTGGACCACGTGTTTAATGCGTCCCTTTTGAACGCTGAACCCTATTTCTTGGCAAGAGCATCTCCGTCTCGATCAGTCGCCAAAGAGGGTTTTTACAACATTGATTCTCAACCGTCTCGAGTTTTCGGGTCTCTTCTCTTTCTCCAGGTCCTCTTTCTGAGGCCCATATTGAGCCGCATCAAAGAGCAGTTTGCGCACGGCGTTCCCGTTAACGTCGTTCCAGCCACGATCCACGTTTCCGGAGAGGGGGCGTCCTTCAAGCATCATGCGGATACCCGCTTCGAGGTGCAGAAGACGATAGGAACACTGGTTGTCTGTCTTCCATCAGAGCACTTAGGAGGTACGATATCCCGCTCCTCCAAGGATCCATCTACCGTCAATGAAGAGCTATTGATGTACAAGCATTCGTATCATCTGCCAGCGTCAGCTTCAATGCTCGTCGAGTCTCATATGGTCCCTCTGACAAGTCGCGTAAATCGCAAAGCGGTGCTGAAGAGCCTTACCAGGACCCGAAAAGCGCACCTCACGTCCAATAGAGGGGGTATCCAACTTGAAACACTTCAATCAAATGTAGACTCACTTGTTTGACACTGTTCTGCACTCGATGTTTTTGTCCGTCTGCAGGGGAGATGGTGGTCACCTGCGGGGGAGCTGAGCACATCGTCGACTTCGCCCCGCTCTCTGGAAAACACGACATCATTCAGTGGGCCGCCATTCCTCAAGACTGCTCGTACGAGGTTAAGCTGATCCAGAAGGGTTACAGGGTGACACTCACGTTCAAGATCTACCGGGAGAAGAACCTGAGAGAGGTCTCGGACTACCGGGTCACCAAGATGCCGCTAGTGATCACGGATAGGGAGGATGAGTACTATCCCAAGATACAGGTACGTGATGCGGTCCTGTTTTGTTTTAAAGCGGAGCTTAAGAGGTTGGTCACTCACAGGGTGTTGCGCTCACTTGCCTGCTCCAGATAGGAGCTTTTACTTTTAAGAGTACTCGAAATGTGACTCTTTAAAATGTTACATGCTTCGTCCTGAAGTCGGAGGGAGACGTAAGCTCGCACAAATTACGACGGAAAGGCCCGCGTCCAGACCTGGAAGGACTGGAAGGACATCGCAGAACGTGCTCAAAAGCTGGATGAAGTCGAAAAAGCTATCCTGTAAAGTCTTTGTGCTGAGCGCTTTTCTACAGAGCCGCTCGCTTATCTTTCCATCTGGCATCGTGCAGAGCACCTTTCAGCCCGGGCCCCGCTACCCAGCCGGCGTCATGAGGCCCGTACCGGCAATCGCGGCCCTCCGTGCGCTCGCGCCGTCGTGCAGCCACGTGGCAGTTTTGCTGCGCCACAGCTACGCCCAGGAAGACATGCTCAGCCCCGACGTCCTCAAGGGGTGTGACTGGCAGCTGTACGAGACTGTCTCAGAAGCACGGAGGTGCGAGCTGATGGCCGTCGTCACAAGGTGGGCACATCGTAATACTTTGGCTGGACTGCAACCTCCCAAGAGAAGCATCTGGTCTGGCTACAAGCCGACCGGACTTAGTAAGCTTGCCGCGTAAGCTTCAGGGGCGACTGAGGGGTTAAGTGCACGAAAATGATCACAGAATTGTACGTGTATCGAGGCGGAATCGGAATCCGAAAGCCTAATACACAAGTTTTTGTTCTCATGTCTCAAGCTGCCTTAAACATGCCCTGTGCAGAGACACCTACTCAGATGCGAACGGCAGGACGAACCTCGCATGCTACGCCTTCTCGAACGAAGACATTGAGTGGCTGGCAGGGGACGGGCCGCGGCCTATGCACGGCTGGTTGCAATCGGCCGAGGCAGGAAAGATGAAGGTGGTGGCTTTCAAAGGAATGGAGAGGGTTTTGCTGGACACCGAGACCACTCCGAGCGGCGAACTGGACGAAGATGAGGACGAAACGGAAGAGACAGATCGGTGAGCGGCTATCCTTCGCCAAGAGCTCTATTAGCAAAATGGTTCCGATGAGATCCTGAAACCTATCGGTCATGATCTCGATCTCATGTCACGTTTGGAATAGAGTAAGGAACGCCACAGATTGCCGTGTCAAATCGGATACTGGAAAGGTGTGGTCTGATGTTTGGCTCGGCTGGCGGTATGAGCCCTTGTCCAAAGATTGTTACCTATCTGCTCCGTTCTACACAAGCGAGGCGATCTGTTGCACCTCTTCGGAGCGAATTAATACGTATCTCTAGCAGGGGGTGGCTCTCACGATCTGCTGATTTCAAGGTCGAACAAGACCTCTTGATTATTGCCTTGGGTGCAACACCTCAGAGTGTCGTTTTGGTGGTGTTTCATGTCGTAATCGTTGGCAAGATCCTGAGAAAGGATGATCCGATCGACAAACATGATTCTCGCGCGATCGCCTTTGAATCTTAAATAGGATGACCATGAGAGCCAATATGATGAACCCGGAGGAATAAAGAGCTCAGCAGTCACACTCGCACTACTTTTCAGTTGCAGGGAGTACCCCGAGCGCAAGATTTTCAAGGTTTACTTTCAAATAGCGCTCGTTATCGACTTGAGAAGCGTACAGAATGCTGAGTAGTAGATTGTCACGGTGCTCGATAGAGAACGACGGGACACACTCAGGTTAGCCGGGCGTCCGCATCGTTTCTTGAGTTGTGAGCTGACAACCTTTAAGACCGTTCAAATTTCACGACAGTCGTGACCTTCTTGCGGTGCCAATTGTTGGTTTACCATTTTGGAAGACTTTGACCATCTTGTAACAGCGAGAAACGTTGCCCTCTGAGGGCACTCCAACTTACTCAATACCATGGTCCAGCTCGTCCTGATGGTGCTTCGATTGTTGGTGGCGAATAAATTGGTCCCACGTAGTAGCTACTACCTTTTTGCTTACCCTAAAAGGTTCGGCTTTGCTTATCCTGTGAGCAGTTGCTGAAGCGGACCTCTTGACAGCCCAAATCAAAACTTCAATGTTTTTTGCGGAAAAGGAGCCAATATCAGACGCACTTGAAGTGGAGCGCCGTCAGCCCACAAACCATTTGGTTTAGTGCTCGCGTCTCTGCCGCCACGTGTGCTGGCATGATCTGATTCAGCTAATATTCAGGAACTGTCGTGTATCTGTAGGGAAAGTGTGATCCCGCCATCACCTCTATGACGAGGTGTACTATTATTCAGTCCAAGTTTAGCGATTTGTCAAGCTCAAGCATTGTGCTGCGAGCAACTTTCGAAGCTGCCGTGCAGCTGGTGTAACCAGATTGTGTGCAAATGTACAAGGACCAGATGGTGCTGCTGCATGTGATATGGAGAGAAGATTAAATGTTTCTTCGATAGGTGATCAATTTCACAACCGCATGGACATATCGTCCACCAAGCAGTTCGCTTCGTAGTAGAGATAGGTGATAGACTCCTACGTCGGACCATGACTCCAGATGATATCGAGCCCACTTTTATTATTCCAATGCTCGAACGACATTGCTCCTCAACAGATCGGAGCAGTCGCCATCGTGTGTTTTAGCATGGTAATGTGGTCCGTGACGGCATTTGCTCGGCATTTGCGCAGTATTGATAATTAGCATCGTCTGCTGATGTCCAGACCAAAAAGAAGCTGCAAAGGGGTGGCCACGTGCAGACCTGTGAGCAGAGCGCGTACATGTAAGCTCTTGCCGAGGGGATGTTGAAGAGCGACGCCGCTCCGAGCAACTATGCTCATGGATCAGAACCCTCGCTCGTCGGTACCACAGCCCTAAGGCCGTAACATGTGAGAATTGCCCGGATATGTGGTATTATACCGAACACGAATTAAGCTTCTGCTCGCCACCAGCCTCACGTTCTGAGCACAATGTGAGGCCCCGTCTGAGGCACTGTGATTACTTCCCGTGATTCAGTAGAGCGAGCATGTAGCTCTATACACGCTCTATACTTTCCTTGCAGAGCCGCGAGGCCGAAGCGTGACCGTCCGATTATTTTCTCGTCTTCTTTCGACCGTGCAAACCTATCTACGCGCGCACCGATTAGATTTTCGGGCACTTGTAATCACTTACTGTCAATGACTCCAGGTCCAGGAGTCCAGGTACATGTGTACATGGGTACATGTTCGTGCCCGCAATGATTCAATAGTGAACCGTACATATGTACCTATTGCATGAGGTAGGTACCTGGTAGTATAGGATGCGGTGACCATGCCAGCCTGGTACGGTAGCCCTCAGCCCTGCCCGTGCTCACGGTCTCCTGGACCTCTCTAGACATCCGACTCGAGCAGGCTGCAGGCTGCAGATGACTCACCTGACCAGCAGGCTGCAGATGTCATGTTGGGTGTGTGCAGGCACTTTTAATTTCGCCGAGCTCCTTTATCATTTAAAGTAGGCGTTGAATGTAGCAATGCGCAGCTTCTATCTTAAGTCAATGATCGACACCGGAAGCTCTGATTGTTTCGAAGAAGCCTTATAAAGCATGCTGAGATCAGAGCTTCCTACAGCCTGTCTTGTTTGAAAGGAGCCAAAATTGTAGAGTCTCGGGCGCTGCATCATGCAATGTCGTCCTTGGACTGTAGAGTAGGAGCTCAAAAAGCTCAACAGCCTGGAACCTGGAAGCAAAGGGCATTCAAGCTGTTTGATACGTGACTCCGGAGTCTCAGCGCATCTGCAAAAGAGCGAAAAAATGGGGTCAAAACTACATAGGACCTAGCTTCTGTGTGCTTTTATAAGCAGCCGGCGTCAACAATGCCGCACGACAAGCTAGACCAGCTGGATGTGGACCTTGCAACAAGGTAAGGTCTCTCTTCTGGTCAAAGAAGCAGATATGCAGATTTTAAGAACCTGACCTAGATAGATGGCCAAATTAGGAAGTCGTGGATCGCAATTTTTTTCCCTCCTCCTAGGCACCCTTGTTGGTACCAGATGAATTTTTTTTCTGATGCTGTTACATTGAGAATTCTTGCTGTTGGCCGGGAGCATTTGTTGGTTTTCTGGCATTTGATTGAAATCTGGCCTAAGCGAGGAGCGCTCACATTGCTGTGGGGAGGCCCATGGAAGGCTTGCCTAGCTGCATTTGCGAGTCCAAAGTCAGGTACTTCTAACACAGAGGTAATCGCAGGCCTTCGTTTGTGCAAGCAAGACATTGCCTTATCCCCTGATCTTCAAGTAGCGCCATTCAGCATTGGTGAGCCTAGCATACAGCAGTAAGTCCTCCCAGCATTGATGTCTAACCTCAGTCGTCTGTGAAGTTTTGGTTTACGGGGCTCTGCCTAAGACACGGCAAAGCGCTGTGCCTACACCACCCACTTTTCACGTACTCAGAGCCGCCACATGCATTTACGGCGGAGTGCTAGCTAACAAACAGCATTTTTGCCGCAGCCTTGGCAGCTTTGTTGCCACCCCCGATGCGGAGGGGTATGAGGCCAGGCCGGGGCAGCTCCTTGTGCAGCGGGAGGAGCTGCTAGCACTTCATGGCTCTCCCAAGAAGGTGAGTACTTTTAAGATTCTGCGCTCTCTCCTTCAATACGGTGACACCTTGTTCTCGAGCAACATCTTCCAGAGGCTCGCCGACTTGACGAGCCCCTGAGGCCTTGAGTACCAGCTTCCAGGTGCTTTGCGAAGCCTGTTGCTTAACCACTTACTATTTTAAAAGGCTTGCAGATGCCAACGTGCACTTGATCCCATGCATGTTCTTTCAGAATTAGGACTTCAGTCCTGTGACAAGGGGATCAAACAGGAACACTGAAGCTTGATTACCACCTGCCAGGCTTCCGGTGGGGCCTTCCGGCTGCCCAGCGCAGGAACACCCGCGCAGAGTCGGGGGGCTAATGGCTTCTCCACCGAAGTTGCCAGGGAGGGCAACCTTGTGGAGCGGTGCAGAGCCGACAGGAGGCACAGGCAGGAGGCGCTCACGGCAGCGCCCCTGCCATGCGTCGCAAGGCCACTGCACGAAAGGCTCTGGCAGCAGGTTGGTCCCGACGTCCCTTTTCATTGCCTTGCTTGATGTACCAACAACATTTGTCCTTCTGGACAAATTCTTCTAACCACCTGGAACCGGCCGTGTGCGAGACAGTTTATGCTTATGGATGCAGAGCAGGGAACGGGGACTGATTAGGGGGTAACTTAGAACAGCTGGTCTTGCCTGGCATTCCTAAGACCGCCAGCCTGGGGTACTGAGATACGACTTCAAGCTTGATTGGCGCTGCAATACCATCTTGGTCCGTCAGTCCGCAGCTGTCCGCTCTGCACAGTCTGCAACGCACCCGTAGGCGTCTTTCGGAACCAAAAGCTACATAAGCGGCCATGATACGATCATCATACTGTTTTCACTGCCTGCCGGAAATCAAGCAGCTGATGAGTCTGCGCATTGGGCTTTTATCCTAAGTACACAGCATGTGATATGAAACACTCATCAGGATTGCATCAAAACTCCGTCTAGGTTCGTAAGTTGCTCCTTTTAACGTATGAGTTGCAAAGTGAAGGTAACCGTCGTTTCCACGCTGGACAGGTGGAGGCGTATCGGAGTCCGGTTTCTGGCAAACAGTTACAAGACGAGGTGCGCGAGTTCATGCGGAGCAGGCTCAGCAGCCTGCGAGTCATGCACGCCCAGTGTGTGCGGCACTTCACCACTCTGGCAGCACGTGAGCGACCTTGGCTCTTTGAGCTTGTTCTGGAGATGGTCATAGGTTCTACTGATCTGCAGGATGTCCGTTTTTGAAGCGCCATCAGGCAGAACAGCCGAATGTACAACAAATCTTCTCACGTAAACCCTGACTTGAGTTCAATATGTGCGTTTGAGGACGGAAGGTGTGCATTAGCCTATGGATTTGACGCTTACGAGAATCCCTCAGAGATGACAAAGTGCAGAAATATTACCGCTGCTTCTTATCTGACGGGGCTCTATCTGCACTTTTGAGCACCAGTGACGGACCTCTCTTCCGTCACCTGCAGAAATTTTACCGCTGTTTCTTATTCGACGGGCTCTATCTGCCATTTTTCAGAACCAGAGACGGACCTCTCTCCCGTCATCTTCGACGCCTTCCAAGCCCAAGCCAGCTGGTACGAATCCGCAATCGAAAAGGCGTCTGCAGCCTGCATCCGTCTGGAAAGAATGCGCGCGCAAGTCCCCTCGCAAGCAGCCCGCTCCCCTGTCTCTCCGCCTGTGCGCAGCCCCCTTAGCAGCCCCAGTCTGTCCCGGTGGGACTTCAAGGAGCCACTATCGGAAGAAGGCGAGGAGGCTTTCGCAGAGGACTTGCGCGAGATGCTCAAGTTCCGGACGTACGAGCAAGCTTGCGGCCGGCGCACCCGGCAGCTGCTGAAGCGGCTCGAGTGGCTGCCCGTCTCGGATGGGAGGCGGCTCGCGGAGGAAGTCCGCCGGAACCTAACGGAGGAGAGGGAGCGGAAAGCAGCGGAGACAAGCCAGGGGTTTGAGGGGCTTCCACGGCAGCCGGCCACGTTAGAAGAGGTGGAAGCAAGCCTAGGGGGACTCGCAAGTGAGTTTGGTTTCGAGACGGAATGCGCACGGTCTGATACAAGCATTGACAACCGAGGAAGCGCCGAGGAAAGGCCGAGTGACTCGCTGGAAGCGCAGGGGACTCAGCTGCTCATGCGCGTGAAAGACTCCTTTCCGGAGCTTTTCGAGGCACAGGAGAAGAGGACACGGTTGGAGCCCTACCCGGTCGCTTTTCCGGGAGTGAGAAACACGGAAGAGCAACCGGTTGAAAACTCCGAGGAGTTCGAGCGGGAAGCGTTCTACCTTGTGCGGGAAACTGACGCGTTTGCGGTGGAAACGCATAGAGCTGGCGGCTTGTCGACGAACAACTCGTTCCTCGACGTAAGCCACAGTGCGGCCACTAATGTCACTCCAATACCCGCGCAGTCGCTTCTCCCAATCGCAAAAGAGAGCGCCAACGAGTCAAAAGACGTCAGCCCAGAGGACGAGCTCTTGCGGTCGGTGATGGCTCCCCCGGGCTGGGCGCATATGCCCGGCCACGTGGCCTGGTTGAAGAGCGTAAAAGACGTCGACACGGCTCTCCGAGCGGAGATCGAGTTCCTCGGGGTCTCCTCCCGCGATGACGTTTCGGCGCGGTTGCAAGAGCTCGCCAAGCTGCACAGCCGCCTAGCGGCAACTGCCGGGGTCGAAGAGTTGAAGCAGCAGTTTCTGCAGAGCGCCAAGGTCGCGGCCGCGGCTCAGAAGGTGCGCGAGGACACGGATGCGCCCAAACCCCCAAAACCCCTCCAGATCCAGGAAGCCGAGCGCGACCGGTCCGCGACGCTCGCCTCCCCAAATTCCCCTAAGAAAGGCGACCGGTCGCGGCCGGTGAGCGGCCGCGCGCGCGCGGAAACGCTGCCGAACAAGCCGCCGGCAAAGGCTCCCGGTAGAAAGACGTCGAAAGACGTCAGCAGCTCGAGGCCCATGACGCCGGCGGAATCGAGCGTAGCGGAATCGGTTGAGGAAACGGCAGGGGAAGGGGTGAAAGTTACAATGCCGAGCAGGAAACTGGAGACGCTGTACATTCTGCAGTTGCTCAAGTCGCGGCGGCTCAAGCTGCGATTGTTGCATTCGGTGAACGTCTTTCATTCCGTTCAAAAGCGGCTGGCGGAAGACTTCCGACGGGAGTGCAGGCCGGAGGCGGCTAAGGTAGCGCAGGTGCAGGTAGAGATGCGGAAACTCGTGGACCGGTTTATGAAGTCAGAGTCGCCGGTAGCTTCTCTCCCGGAGTCGGAAGATATGCCGGCGCCGTTCCGCCCGGGAAGAAGCTCCGGGCTTAATCTGGACGGAGGCGGAACTAGTAGTGGCCACAATTCGAGGAACCGAACAGTCTCGGGAGGCAGAAACTTTTCGGCTGTTTACCAAGGAGAGGGAGGGGAGACGCACCGGTCAGATGCCAGCCGAAGATACTCCGGAGCCTCCAGTGGAAGTGATGCGGACGAAGGTGACGTCAGCAAGCGGCCATCGAGACGTTCGGACGTTGAACGATCGAAGGGGGCCAGCAATGGCCACAATAGCAAGCAGGAGGCCGGGGCCGCCGAAAGAGCGGACGACAATTCAAGCCAGGAACGCAAGTCTTCTGAGTGGGACGACATGTACGAATTTGACGCGGTTCTGGGCTGTCAAATAGTGAAAGACGGGAGAGGCGTGCGGGTCGTTTACGCCGACGCACTCGCGCGGTTTGAGGAGCTGATGGTGGAAATCCAGAAAATTGCAACCGGTGCAATCTTTCGAGGAATGGAGCAAATCGAGGCTGCCGCGGCGGACTCAGCAGAAGATAGAAGGTACGTTGTTGACAAAGTGCCAGCATCTAAGCTCTGAGATCTTTCTACCTCTTTATGACCTTATCAGCATTCGCGCTCGGGTGAAACAGTTGTGATTGCGTTTTCTCGTGTTCTCATTCTTTTGCAATCCTCTCACACGAGCGGCACTTGGTTTTGGCTGGTACTGACTGGTACGGGGTTCCTTGAAGCTGACAGCGACGTTTATCCTTCGATGCCAAAAATGTGAGAAAGAAGAAGACCGCCTGAGGTTGCCGCAAATTGGACGGCCAGTCAAGCGCATGTGGATTGAATTTGATGAAAGAACCTCCCAGAAGCACGTTTTGTATCAGCGTTCCTGGCTGCTGAAAATTGTATGTTATCTACTCTCTCCTTACATAAAGAAGGATCGAGCTGTCTGGCATGTAGTTCATCCTTGACAGGGGTGCAAGATAGGGTTTCTATATCGGACGTATGAAGGACATGGACGATTATTCCGTAACACCAGCAGTGTGAAGAAAGACCTTGCTATCCAACCTGAATAAGCAAGCTGCCATTTCCTGCAGGGCGTTTGACAGGCGGGCGGTGTTGCTGGAATTTCTCGAACTAGAGACGCAGCACATGTCGGCAAAGCTGGACCTGGTCATGTCTCTCTTTGCGGCCTACCAGCATGCCCTCAGGTCAGTGCTGCGTCGTATGCCATACTTACTAGGCCTCAAAAAGCCTGGATATCCATTCACACTCAAATCATTGATTCTCCGACTGTCTTGCCGAGCGGAAAAGGGGTGATCTCAGGGGACTAACTACAAGATCATTGACACATTGAGCCGGAAGGAACAGAAGCTGATATTTCACCCTCGAAGCATCTGGAGGATTTGAGAACCCGGGTGCTTGTCATATGTGCGTGCGTATATGAATCTTCTCACACGTCAATTGATCAGGTCTCTTGGATCTTTACGCTTGTTCCTCTTCTGAGAATTGGTTTCTTGCTCCGTCGTCTCACTGAAGGTTCCTTTGTCTCGGGCTTAGCCCCCAAATTTATATCTCAGCTAACGAGCTGGCCTTTGATCTGGGACCCTTCGTTTTCGTCCAGCTCTCCGAACGGCGCTGCTCGCCTGCGGGCGGAGATTCTTGGCGTCGTTGCCATGCGGCCATCGTTCGCTCCGGACTCCGTGGGGCAAGGCGGCAGCTTCCGGCAAGTCTACGTCGACGAGACGGCGGTCCTGACGCACAATGTTCAGATCGTGAGAAGTGTACGGCAGGCACAGATTGAACGGGAGAAGCAGATTATGGCCTTATCTTTGGGGGAAGGTAAGCGGCTTGAAGTGACTCAAAAATCTTAACTTGTTTTGAGTGGCTTTCCGAGCACTGGTGCGGGTCATTGTTTGGAGCAAGACTTCGGAGCTGTTTCAACCGGTTCTGGTGGCGTAGACCGATGCTCAGAAGACTTCTTTTGTGTACTTTCAATCATTCTGCTGCAAATGTGGCCACGTTACACATTCGCGAAGCTGTGTCTGAACAGGAAGCAACATTTCTTTCCAACCGCCAGTCTTATCAACCAATTTGCCATCTAAGCAACTACTCTCAGCTAATCTACACTTTTGTTCTGCTTTTAGCTATCTTGAAGCCCCTTTTTCCGCGTACCTGCAAGTGAGAGAGTCACAGGTTCCGAGCCTATTACACCGATGATTTGTGTCTCCGCGCCTCCCCACTAACCACCATCATTTGCCAGGTTACGACGACTCCTCCTCCGTCGGTCTCCCCTGCCCCCTCGCCTCCACGTCAGCTCTCTCGGGCGGAGCGCCTTTCTCGAGCGTCTCCCTGGTGGGCGACGTCATCAAAGCGGTCCGTACCACCGTCGAGCAATTGGCCCGGCAGCTGGAGATGGAGGATTACGCGCGCGCCCGCCGCGCGCTCCGGACGCTCGTCCTGCAACGAACGTCCGAGCTGTGGGAAGCGTTGGCCGAAGAGCCGCGGATTAGGAAAGGGCTGGTGAGGATCCAAATCATTTCGGATTCTGCCGTTGGCCATATGCCGTGCAGTAAGAGCTCCCCCGACGGACTACATTTGATCCCTTTTACTTATTTGAAATGAGAACAGAATGTTTTTGTACCTGCGCCGAACGGGCTTTTGTTTTGCTGGTCTTCCGTCAACATTGGAGTAACCCGTTAAACGTCTCTATGCATGTAGCTCTTAGCGCAGCGCACCTGATTTGATACATGCTCTGAGCCTTTCCGTGCGTTTCAGAGCTACATACAACAACGATAATTGGCCTTTGAATGAGGTTTCCGAAGCATCCCCTCCATCTTCATCTTGCAGGTACCCGGCTACGAGCCTCCCTCGTTCGCCTCCAGCGCGCAGCCCGACCACTTGAAGGAGTCGCTCATCATGGACAACCCAACCGCTCTCGACGCCATTGTGACGTCGTACCTAACGGGCCCGGCGAGTCCCTCCCTAAGCGAACAGGACCAGTTCGACAGAGTGTGCATGACCCCGACGGCCCTCTCCCCGGAGCAGAAGGGCCGTTTCCCGGTCACTCATCTCAGCCTGCCGGGCAACGAGGCGTTCGGCGGCCGCGCGCGCGCCGCGACCGAGCCGCACTTCGCGGGTTTTGGGGTTCCGGAAACTTCGCCGGAGCGGAGCCGGCCGTCGTCCGCCAGCGTGGCGGGCCCGCGGCCGCCTCTCTCCGCCCTCGCGCGCAGCGGGAGCATTGTTCAAGACAGCCTGGCTGTGAACACGTCCCAGGGGGCATTCTCACCGAACAACGTGGCCGCGCCAGCGGTAAGCTATCACGGCGAGGCGGCCCCGGCCGCGTCGGCCGACGTGGCGGCGCGCGCGCTCGAGCTGCAGCGGCTGCGGGTCGCGCTCGTGCGCGCGCTCGAGGAGAGCGAGAATTTGGAGGGTGTTTACAAGGCGCAGGCGCTGGCGCTTGGGATCGCGGTGGATGGGCACTCGCTGGAACCGCTGTTGATCCAGGACGGGATGGGGGTGGCGGGGAAACCGGCGAGAGTGCTCCGGGATCTGGAAGGGGAGACCAGGATGCCCCCGGAGGATGTGGAACCAAAGACTGACGCGACGGTCAGGTGAGAAAGGGACTTATGGGGAGGCTGGATTGCAGGTATGTGTGAGGAATATGCAACGATGCGAAGACTGCCTGCAAGCTCTGAAAAGAGAGGGCATCCAGCGGAATTCTGAAAATCACAGCACTTCAAGGTGCTTGGAAGCACTTCAGCCTGTCGTTTGCTCTTCTTCCGGGTACTGGCTGCATCTGGGGTAACCTTTCATGAAAACATCCGCTTCAGAACGTGAGCTTGCTATACGTAGTGTCAAACTTGCAGTCGCCCAAGAGTACCGCTCAGCTTGCATCCGACATTCTCTACACCAACATTTCTGCTGACGCACAAGTGCGCTGACGTCCGTTGTCACTGTTGCGTCACAGGGGCCCCAAGCCCGCTGTCGCGGAGCTTGACCTTGATCTCCTCGAGCTGGACTTCCACACGCCGGCGGGCGTGCAGGCGCTGCTGACGTCAGCCGACGGCGCCTCGCGGCTGCGACTCGCGGTCCAAGCGCAGCTCGCGCACAGCTCCGCCCTGTCTGTCGCGGTCCGGAGCAACGGAATCCTGCTCGCCAAAATCCTCCGCTGCGTGCACCACAAGAGCCGGTCGCTTCTGCGCGAAAACGAAACGGAAGTGGTGATGGCGCAAATGGGGCCGCCGCCCACGACGGCTGGATGGGGCGATTTTGAAGCGACGCTGGAGGCGAAGCAACAGCTGTTGAGGTCGCCGTCCCGGGGATGGAAGGAGAAGCCCCCGGCGGGGCTGCGGCCGGATCAGGAAATAGAGGTGACGGACTACCGGGAGAGGATAACGGAGGAACTGGCCGACTTGTTTCTGTCGGTGAATAAGGTCAAGAACCAGGTGCGGATCGGGGTGTTGGATTCGTACACCAGAAAGCTGCAGCAGGTAATGCAGAAGAAGGGGGTCGGGGTGAATTTGCGAAAAGCGAAAGCGGACCTGAAGGCGGAGCTGATCGAAGAGTACGTCAAGTCAGTGTTCCAAGAACTGGCGCCCTTTTGCCGCGCTTCCGAATTGGCCGAGCAGATGGACCGTTTGGGGAAGCTGCTTCTGACGGTTAGTCAAACCGGGGAGGCGCATCCCGGCAGCTTTGTATCGCACGGCGCGCTTACCAGCGGTTCGCACCCTTTCTTTTCCAGCCCGGCAATCTTGAAACAAGCAGCCTTAGACTTCCAAGACATTCACGATTGGTCGGGCTCGGGCCTTTTTGAAGCCGGGCTCGACGCCGATACAGGCGGCCAGGGTGCGTTTCCATTGCCTAAAGGGCCTCTCCTTATGGCGTGCCCCACGCCAAAGTATGCCAAAAAAGCCGAAGACTTTGGGCAACGGGACCCGGTCTTAGATGGCCACCGCCGTTTTGGGCTGTACTTGCTGGACGACAGCGGAAAGCTCGCGCACGTCTGGGCGTGTTACAGCCCGCTCGAGGCGCTTCGGTTGGCGGCCGTGCGGGGTTTGGGGGTTTCGGAGATCGGCGAGGGCATCGAGGCAGTCGGCGCGGTCGCGGACATTCTTCGCATCAGGTGGGCGACGATTTCGCTGGCGCTCCCGAAGGTTGAGTCGCCGTCTCCGGGGGGGCCGCAAGTGAAATTGACGGGCGCGATCGCGGCCGCGGCGCGCGAGCAGGCGCTCGCGGCCGCGCAGAAGTGTCGGTCGATCTTCTGGGGGGAGGTTAGCGCCCTGAAAGAGGAGGCGGAGCACGTGCGGATGAAGTCAGGCGGCAGGGCGGCCGTGTCCCTTTTGCAGCTGAAGCGCACCATAGCGTATTGGCGGCACGTGCTCGTATTGCAGGCGTCGCGCGACCAGCTGACGAAAGCGGGGAAAGACGGCGCGGCGAGAGAGGCGGCGAGGCTGCTGAGACTGTCGGCGGTCGTGTCAGAGAGACCGGAGCAAGAGGAGCGTCTTCCAACGCACGTCGGGGCATTCCTCCGGGCGGTCAGGGAAGACGCGTTGGGAAGCATCTGCACTTCGATGGACGATGAGTCGTTCGTCGGGGTGAAGGGAACGGCCGCTTTCGAGCTCCCACGGCCCGTCAGCCGGACGGCCGCCAGACCGCAAACCGCGCGGCGCGAGGTTAAGCCCTCAAACCCGAAAGTGGACACGTGGCTACTCGGCGCGCTTCTGCCCGCGCGGGCGCTGAGCCTCGGCGCACTGTCTGAGGAAGAGCGGAAGTTGATCGTTGTGGAAGATAAGAGATTGGAACACGTTCTAGATACAGCCCTGGGGGACGATCGGGGCTATGCCTCTACGATGCCGACACGTGTCAACACGAAGGTGGCCTACCACCTGGAGCTGCGGCTCGTTCACACCCACATGAAGGCGGCCTTTCTGGACGGCGAAGCTGCGCTCTCGGACGCTCTGGAGGGCCGCAAAAGGACGTCCGAAAGTCTTTCGAACGGGAGACAGAGCCTGGACTTGGCTCCGCGAGACTCGCGACGAGCCCCGTCCACCAACCCCTATCAAGAGTGCATTCGGCTGCGGCTCCCGGGATGGTTTCAGAGCGACCCGGGGCTGACGTCAGCGGAGCACATGGCGCGCGCGGAGCTGTTCCAGAAGCTGGTGGTACGGCCGCTGGGTGATGTCACGTTCGCGGCCGCGAAGGCTCTCGAGAGTGCGAAGGACGGCGGAGCGCGGCTCATCGTGCGGCCGCCAGCCACGGCGACCAAGGAGATCAGCAGCATGGAGGCAGAAGTGAGCTGGCTGTCTTGATTTCGTACCTACCTATATGATTCGGACCTCCAATTATGGAACAAATGAAGAAGACTTTAAAGAGGTACTCATCTAGACTGCTTGTCAATCCGGACAGTGGCTGTCAGATTGGTGTTAGGCCGTTGGGGCCGTACATATGGATCTAAAACGGCCTTTCTTGTCTTCAAAAACAAGAGGACTCTTCTTATCAAACAAGGGTAGTCCGGGAACCGGGCGTTGATTTCCGCAGCACTGATCTGACAAGCGGTCTGACATGAGAAAAACGGAACGCGTTTACTGACCTCATTCTCTGTACAATCGCGTTTTGGCCATTAAAAGGGCCCGGGCTGCCTTCCTATCTCACCCAGTAAAAGAATGAGAACCAAAGTCTTCCTTACAACATACTTCCGCTCGTCGTAGGTGTGGAAGATGAAGCACCTCATCGACCGCCACCACCTGGAGGCGACCACCCTCTCCCTGGAACTCAAGCACGCCAGTCTGCTGCGCTCGAAGGGTCGCCGCGATCGCAGCCAGCAGGAAGGACCGTTCGATCCCCGTATCGAGACGGCTGCCTTTGTTGAAGAGCTGGTCACTCTGGGCGTATTCACACCAGACGGGCCTGGCCTTGGAGTTGTTGCCGCCGTTAGAGAGGACGAGGAAGGCGGGGGGAAGGAGTGGAAAGTGCGCGAGGCGGCGCGCGCACTTGTGGAGAGACTGGGGTCGCAGGTAAACCTGTTCCTGGTCGATGCGAACTGGTAACCCTGCCTTTTGCTGGAAATGGGAAGTACCAGGATACAGCGAAACACAGCCCTTCATGCGTTGCTAGCTTGTACTCATTATTTAGTAGAGCTCATGAGTCCCCTTAACCATGGCTCACAAACCTCGCGTCAATCGCAGCTGCACCTGAACTCACGGGAAGAGTGTCCGTTTCGCGGAAGGAGATTATTTTAAGACGATGTCGGTGGAAAGGCGCATGGTAATGGAAGATTCCGCGTTAATCAGCTGCACTTGTGATCTTGAAAGGCTTTTGCCTTGAAATCATCAAGGTTTGAAGAACTTACCTTCCTTACCTTTCTTCGGTCCCAGGCGAAGCGGCAGCAGGAGATCGTGCAGGCCGCGCTGTACGCGCGCGCGCAGGAGCTGTCGCGCAGTCTGGTCGCGCAGCAAGAGAATCGCGCGCTGACGGACTGGGAAAGGCAGCGCGAGAGGCGGCAGAGCACAGCGCTCAGGGAAGCGGAGGTGAGCAAGTATCGAAAGGCTCTGTTGATTCAGGGGACCACTATGCGGGACAAAACAATCCCGTAGTAGGAGATGTCAAATGGAACAACACAGACACGTGTCTGTAGTGAGAGCTCCTTTGTCTCCCCTTTGTATCGGTTGACTCAATCTTCGTCGCAGGAATACTCGTTTTCACGCGCACTCCATATAGCTCCTGGCTAAACGAATCCCTTCCGTGTCTCTTCCAGATCTGCGACCGCGGCCTGGACATGGTGTTGGAGCTGGCGTTTCTGCGGCGGAAGCTCGCGCGCATGGACGCGCACGTGGAGGACTACGCGGCGCGCGCGCGCGCGGACGCTGAGGCGGATTGCGCGGAGAAAGTCGCGCGGTTGGAGAAGGAGGTGGCCGCGCAGAAGAGCAACATGGAGGCGCTGCGACAGGAGATGAACAACGAGATGCTGCAAGGTGAGGATATTCTTGTACCAATGTTCCCAGGAGGTTTGTTCTGGAGCCACTTCTGCTGACTTTAAGGCATCTGCTTCCTTCTCGTTCAAGCTCCTTGAACTTCAAGCAGCTAATCGAAGGCTATGCACGTTAGCTTTTCGAGCTATCTGGTTAGAACTTGATTCGGTAAAGGTGTGTTGTATGCTCAAACCCATACCTTCGCAAAAGCAAGCAGTCAGTAAACTTACAGAAGCATCTCTCTTCACAAAGGGGCAGATCGACGACTTAATCTTTCACGACTGCGCCACTAGCTCTACTTGCCGCGGCAAGCTTAGGGTATGAAAGCAGTTTATAAATTCCAAATTCATTTTCGATTTTCCAATTCTTGTATCCAAAGCTGCGACCTTTTCTGCGTGCAGCTTTCGCAGACATCAAGAACGAGACGGTGCTCAAGATCATGAGCTACCAGCGCGAGGACGGCCACGCGGCCGCGAGCGCGGGCGTGAGCCCCCAGATCCGGATGCTGCAGCTGGAGGCGCAACTGCAGGAGCAGCGCGCGGAGAATGCGGACCTGCGGGCCTCGGTGAGCGCCACGTGGCACCCCCCGATTTAACAGATGCTTTACGACCGAAGGATGTAAGGTGTAGCTTAAAGAAGAGGAAGTGGAAGTAGGAAGACTTTGCCGGGCGTGTCCTGGGCCAAAAGATCTGAGTGAAGCAATGTCAATACTTTCTGAAAAGAGGGGATTGTGGTGCGAGAATTGAGTTGGCATGTCCGTATTCCTCTATTCTAAAGGAGTACCCTCGCTGAAGCATCAAGATCAATATTGGCAGCAGCTATCATCCCTTCTTGCCGTCCGACATCAACAGCCTTTCCGAAGACCGAAGGCGGCCTTTTGATCTTAGTTGCATAAAAAAGAACAGCCCCCCAAGCTCTAACCCTCGTGTTTGTCTCCTGCACAATGCAAGAAATCAATTCTGAAGAGAAGACCCAATTTGCTACCTGATCATGTCAGCTGATACGCGGCAACTTCGATGAGAAACAAGGCTTTATCAGGAAGAAACGGATTCAGCCCTGAATTTAATGTGTGCCAAAAGATAAAGGATGTCGACAATCAAGAACCGATTTGAGTTATAGCAGGGGCGAATAAGTAGCATCGTTTCCTCGCGTGACCAGGTGACCAAGATCAGCGCCCTGAGCAAGCTGCGGCTGATGGCCCTCTCCAGCAAGTTCCGCGCGAGCCTGCGCGCGGTGCGCAAGGAGCGCAGCGTGGTCGACCTGGAGGGCTGGGAGGCGCGCGAGCGCGCGCAGGGCGACGGGCGCGCGCTCAAGGAGCAGCTCACGGCCACACGCGCGGCGCTCGCCAAGAGCGAGGAGGAACTGCGGCGGGGCACCAAGGAGCTCGCGCACGTGGTAGGTTGTTTGACTGACACGCGGACTAGAAGGGATTCAAGGATGCTGTTGCTACTTTGCGAGGCGCGTGCATCCGATGCAGGTTTCATCAACGTAGAGCAGGCGAGCGAGGATCTTGTTTGCCTACTTCACACGTAGTCCTTATGGAATATGCTCAACTTGGCTACCGGTAGTAATGCCAAGGAGTCGGCACCTGTACCTAAGAAAGAACCATTGCCTCCTGCAGAAGCGCACCAAGTCCAAGCTGCTCTCCTGGAAGGTTCAAAACTCGCGCGCGCTGGACACTCTAGAACAGCACGACACGCGGATTGCGCGCCACGTGGAGGCCAAGCAGGCCGCCAAGCTGGAGCGGCTGTACACCATGGCGAGCGCCTTTGGGGAGAAGCAGCCCGGGGTGGAGGAACTAGAGGCGGTGAGAAACACGTTCCGACAAAGTTCCTTCTTTGGTGTTGCAGAGTTGCGCTAGCGATTTTTAATGCACTGCTTGGACCAAGAATTTGGGCATAATCTACTTGCAATATAACATCTCGGGGCCTCTTGGATCATTTTCGCTTGTTACAATGTCTTCAACTTAGAAGTTCCTTGATTCTGAATTCAGAGACTCGTACCATCAGAAGCCGAGGTTACTGTTCGTTTAAGTCGGAAAGAGTCCAACTGAAGAGAAGTCTATGGACGTCATGGTGACACGTGGCGGCTCCTCGTGTATTCAGGAAGTGGAGCGGCTGGAGCAGAAGCTCGCGAAGGAGAAGGCGCTGCGGCGCAGAGCGGAGGAGCGGTTGCAGGCGCGGGAGGAAGAGGAGAGCGGAATGGAGGCGGAACGGAACGGCAGCCGGCCCCCTCCAGAAAAGTGAGCGCTCTGTTGGTGGACCGGGTTTTTCCTTCGGACAACACCGTTCTTGTGGTTTGTCCAGTGGCTTGCAACGGCACTGCTTCTCAAGTCTCTTGAAAATGCTTGTAACGTCTGGGAAACCAAGGTGCTTGCCCTGTGCGAGGGCATAGGAACAATCCGCGTCAGCTTTGTTCTAGCTTGCACCCCGCCACCCGAGCTTCTGAATTTGGAAGTTCTTCCGCCATTCCTGTCGGCAGAGACTCCATTTGCTGGCAGAGAATTAATTTGTAGGCGGAACATCTGCTTGTAGAGTTTTTGAGGAGCACCAAGGATCAATTAGACATGCCTTCTGACAAGAAGTGCCGTCTTTGGACAAAGGCCGTCCTTCCAACACTCTGCCCTGAATTCTTAAGAGGGGTCGGGATATGGCAACATCTCTTCACGTAAATTCTCCGGGCGTTATCAAAAGCAGAACCGCATCCTGATCAACCATCCCTGCTGCAGCGGCCACGCGAAACTCGGATCAGACGGCACGCGCCGTCCGTCAGGATCCTCTCCCCTGCGCTCGTCCCGCCTCGGAACCCCCGGGGCTGCGAATGATTCAACCGAAGCCCAATCACTCTCCTCCGAGCGCCTTTTAGCGGGCAGGGCAGGGCGGAAGTCCAGCACAGAAAGCCCGGTGCGGCAACGAGCATCGGCATCAACCGGCTATGTGCCCGAGACAAATGAGACCGACGGAAACACCTCCAGCCCAACAAGCTACGGGCAGACGGTCAGCATTTCTAGGCCGGAACTCGAGCTCCGGTCACCTGTTGTTCCGGAAACGAGGGCCGGAACGGCACCGGCGGGTAACCGAAAGCCGTCGGGGGACGCTCTTCAGTGGACGTTTGCAGCGTCGTCCTTGACGAAAGGGGCTACCTTGCAGTATCTGAATTCAAGTAGACCACAATCGGCGTACGACGCAAAGCTGGGAACGCAGAGTATGCCAAAAGGAAAGTCGGTGCTTCTTAGCGAACGGCCGCAAAGGCCCTCAACGGGTAGAAAAGTGCCTAAGGGCCAGCTTTAGTCATTGAACTATGGACATATTGTGGCTGCCGGCCCAAGTTGCACTGACGCTCTTTATTGCGCATCATCAAACATGATTGAGGAGTTGAGATATGAGTCTACCGTCCGAGGATTTCTAGTTGCGATGAATGCCTATTCTTTATGCATAATTGGAGAATCGAGCAAAGCCGGGGCATTTACAGCTCGTGCATGAGGCTTAAATGTGGCAACACTATTCTTTAACTATTACAGTGGTGCGCATCATCATGAGAAATATTAAGCACTGATGCCGATGATCGACAATGGCTCGTTAGATGGATAGAATGCAACCTTTGATGCACAGAAATGGATTGTAGCCAGTGAATCCTCGTATCTTGTTCTCTCACTCTTCTTTTACCAATCATCGTGCTTTTTGAAAACCCGTCTCCATGCGCTGCTATCGAAGTAACGGTTGTCGTCCTCTTCTATGTCTTCGTACGACCATTCTTCCTCCTCGCTTTCTTCCCCCGCGTCATCAAGGTTAGGCTGGTCAGTTGCTTTGGCAGCCATCCAATTATTCTCCTCCGGTCGCAGGTCCACAATCATCACTGTCTGAAGGTATATCCGGAGCTCCTTCCCGGGCACCGTTGAGTTCCCCAGAAACTTCTCCCCGCGCTCCAGATTTTGCAGCAGCCGCCCAGAATGCCTCTCGTTGTACCACGTGAACGGAATCGGCGACTTGTAATCGAGCGCCGGCTGTTCGTCCGTGTAGCCCTGCGAATCCGCCACAAATTTTAAAGAAAGCCAATCTCGTTGGGAAAGCGCTTTCCTGTGCCTTCAAGATTTTGTCAAATGCTGTACTTAAGAGTAGTTGCAGGTAACCTAAATACCAAGGATATACGAGATGAAAAGCATTCAGTCCAGGCGAAGTGCACGATTGTGCAACGGTCGCAGTGGCAGTGCTAGCGTCCGATATGAAAATAGAGACTCCATTCTGCAAGGTGTAGGCAGGAGGTCGCAAACCTTGGCGTGACAGACTTCGTTACCAGGTTCAGAAAAGCCGCACCTACTCAAGCGATGAGAAAAAGCTGTATACTTCATGTTTTGACGTCATAATCTGGACGGCTGGCAGCGGTTGTCAGTTGTCCCCCAGCCAGAACGGAACTTTTGCGGTCCGCCCGAATATGATTCCCAATATCACTCACGCTTAGAAATTCGTAGTCCTGGTTCCTGAACGAGAGGACTTCAACCTCACACTCGTGGGCGGACGAATGGCGCTCCCACCAGTCCCGGTCCCGTTTGCTGACGAGGAGGACCGGGACGAAGCGGCAGGGCCAGCCCTCCGACGTCAGCAGCTCGTGGAACATCCTGTCGCTGCCCTTCAACCCCTGCATGCGCGCGCAAGTAGACTCGTTTCTGGGCGCAGCAGAACCAACATTTTCCCGACAGACGTAAACTTTGGTTTATATGTATGTACCATTGCTACAATCTTGTCAGCACGCCGAGCCCTGAAGGCTCCCCGCAGTTTCAAAGATCGTGGGAAATGCCCATTTTGCCACGTGGCGTTCTTTTTACCTCTTTGACCGCCCCGCTCTGCGTGTACTCGTGCTGGAGGAGGAAGCCCACGTACGGCAGCCCGAGAGATGACAGCGTCCGCAGCTCAGCCTTGAACTGTTCACGGACCGTCTCCTGGCGAGACTCGTCCGATTGCACCGGGAATCTGAAATCCTGCACAGAAGAAACTTCGCACCTCAGAGACGACGAGGTTTTTGTTGTGAAGGTAACAAAGGAAAGTTGACCGTTCCAAATCTGCAGGGAGAGGAGTCTGAAAGTCGATGACCGCGGCGGCCGCGAAAGATGTAGGTCAACAAGTTTCGCTCACATAAAGATGTAAACGAAAATTATCCAAAGCCACAGTGATCAGCGGCTATTAAATAAAGCACCTGATCAACTTTCGTCGTTTTGTTCAAACTTGAACGCCTTGAAAGCATTGGCTTATAAATCCAATAAGTATGCTGCAGGATAGGCTTCATCCTTGCACAAATCAATGTCAGCAGACTGACCGTGTAAGCACTTTCTTCGAAGTTCTTTTCTCCAGGATACGGGCACCGCTCGCGCAGGATGTGATACGTCAGCGTGACGCGGCGCCCGCTCGTAACTGGCCTGATCTCGTGCGGGCAGTCGCCGAAGAACGCCGCAAACTGGAACACGTTTCTCTCGCCGGACCTAGTTGCGAAGTCAAACGTCTGGGTAATTCTTCCGTGCGTCACGATTAGCTCTCCTCCGGTGAACTCCGCCGGGAGGCAAACAACAACCGTGCCCACAAAGAGCTCCGGGTCGACTGGGGTGTCCACGTGCGGCCGGAAGAAGTCCCCGGGGCCTGTGATGTAAAATGCGAATCAAAACGTTGGCCGCCGCTTTGCACACCACGACAGGCGCTGGCTCTGTGAGCCAATCGCTTTGGTAAGGACAATAAAAGCCTCCCGAAGAACGAAGGTTGAAGGGGAGGCGACCCCCTTTTGCGAGGTAGTGGATAGAGAGGAAGTACGAGAAAAATCCTGCGCTCTGTAGCGCGAAAGCTTGTCTGCCCAACAAATATTTGCGCTGAGAATTTGAAGTCGGACGTCGAGCTTGCCTCCGTGAGCGGCTTGTCAACCGGAAAGGCTGACGGATTGTGCTCTGCTTGGCACTGAGACCGTGTAGACACAGATGAACGCAAGAAGCTGACGCGCACCGTCACTTACTCTGGCCTTGATCTTTCTTTCTTAAATCAGAGGCACTAGAAACGAAATTAGATTCAAGAACACTCTTTGAGACCTAGCCAAGGCTAAGTCAGTCGGTATGACTCGTGAGTTCTGATCATTGAAGGTTTGCTAAGCCTCTGCAAACTCCGGGAAAGTACTCGCATCGCAAACTTTCTGAAAGCCCACCGTAGATGTTGAGCTTGTAGGGCTCCAGGTAAACCTTTTGATAGAAGCACAGCCTTTCCATCACCGCCGCGCGGATCCTCGTCTCAAAAAAGATCTGCAAGCAGCACGCACCATGCCGTCTCAGACTCTTCCCTCCTGGATTCTAGATTCCGTCATCTCCCCTTGTGAGCGAACCAACTGGGTTTCGAGAGTTGCTTTCCTGCAGATTCGCAGATTCGAACATTGTGAAACGGTGGACAGAGTACAATCCTGGAGGTGCAAAAGGGGAAACGTTCGGACATTTTACGACCCCGAATTAGAGGTGTTGGGGCGGTTGAATAGGCACAGTTGAGTTGCGTTGACGGCAAAGTGATGCACAGTGTAAAAAAATAAGCAAATTTCACCACTTTACCGCATGCTTGACAAAGCTAGCATCTCCGGCAATGATTAATCTTGCTACTGCTCTACTACTGTCCTACGATTCTTTCGATTTTTCAAAATCAGCCAGACTGCACTGCAGATAGCGTCGGATAGCTTCCAATGGACTACTGAATAATGACAACACCCCTCACCTCGTGGCTACGTCTCGGGTCCCAGTCGTCATCGTTGCTCTTGGTGACGTCAGCCTTCGCAACCACAAAGCGGGCGCCCAGAGCTTTGCGTACTGCAGGGTTCACTTGCGTGGACTCGTTCAGGAGGTTCCCATACGGGGCCGGGGAACAGCAGCGCTCCATCGTGTTGACGTCCAACTCCGAAAACGGCATTTCCAGACCATCTTTTGAAGCTTCCTGAGAAAGAAGCCGGTTGTGAGCTCAAGTAGTCACTCAAGAGCAAGCCTGTGGCAGAGCAGATGTTGGGCCGGTGTAAATCTCGGTAACGTGTTGCTGCAGGAACTGCAGGCAAGACGACCAACCCTCATCATACTCGGCTTGATTTCGTCCCGCAAATTTCAAAATAGATGTAAGGAAGGCTTTGCAATCTTTTCCATAAGACTGACAGCTCTGCTCGTCGAAAGCGGATTGAATGAAACAAGCAGGAGTCCAATCATGGATCTAAACTACTCCTGCAACGGAGCTTGCAAGATTGTCTACAAGATATAACGCTTGTGACTGTTGTTCTACCTGACCGTCGCTTGGGGTTCCCTCAGCTATGACATGCAACCTGGCAAACTTCAAGTCGTGGGGATGGAGATTGTCCGCTCCTCCGTAACAGAAACGGCTTTTGCCCTTGTCAATCGCCTTTGCATAGCCTGCCGCCCAGTCTAGATGCACTTTCACCTTGCTAAAGTTTAGCTTCAGTCCTGAGCACATCTCGTCACACTGTTTGTAATCCCACATCAGGTCTCCCTCAGCCTCAAAAACCCCATAGTCCAGATCATGATAAGACTTATATTGCTCTGCCACGTAGCATACCCAGCCTAGCTTGTTCCTCAAGGGCACTCCATCAAAGTTTCGACCCTCCCGAACCTGCATCAAAACGTCTTTGATGGTATGATAAGTTTTCCACTTTCGTTTCATAACCATGGTTTCAACTCCTTCCGCGGTTCTTTTCCACTCCCACATCTGAGATGGACCGGGTTCTTTCTCCTTGCCGGTTTTCAGAGCTTTCTCCAGCTTGAGATACTCATCAACCGAGCTCAAGTATGTGCAGGGCTCCATATGCGCCGGCAGGCCACCTTTTTGCTGTACACTATCTGCTTCTGTGCTTGCCCCTGATGCTCTAGCTGACGTTGAAGTGCAAGAGCCCCGGGCTTCAAGCGGGGCTGCGGCGAGACTGGCCCAAAGGGTGCGCTGCTTCAAGCAAGACCAAGCGCACCGTACAAAGGAGTGCCCTGAACGCAAACCACCTGTTCTCCGAGCCATCAAGGTAGGCAGTAAAGAAGTCAGATGTGATTTGAAGAGGCCACGTACTGGACATGGACGCCACTGGACATGGACGCCACTACAGGAATGAAATGCAGGCTACAGGGCTTGAGCTCGTCCGACCGGCCACCGTCCCAGGCACGCGCGCTTTCGTCGGACCCGGCTCAGTACGTGTGGAGGGTTTGGGCGTCCGACTCCCATCGGACGGTGTCAATTTGCAGATCGAAAGCGTCCGGTCCGGTGCGAGACGCGGTAGTGCGGCGAGCCGCGCCAGCTCGGACTCTGGCTCCTGAGGAGTGCTGACTCCCACACACATACACTGTTTACAGTATTTTATCCAAATTTTACAGTATTTTATCCGAATAAGCTGCTTCTTTCAAACCAGGGAAGAATAGTGATAAGCTCAGTGGACAGTCGAAGACAGGTCATGGGTTTACCAGTACTTTTAAGGGTATGGCCACGCGCGCGGTGCACGAGCGCCGCCGTAAAATTTTGGCATAGGTAAGCTTCCACTCAGGTCAAAAGGCTTACTACGCACTGACTGAATCGGCAAGCACTATTCCTGTACGCGCCCGGCTGACGGTCACGCGTCCCGCCGAGTAAAAGGCGGCGCAACCGCCCCGGCCGGTGCAATCGGACACGGTCGCGGAGCGCGGCCCTAGTTCATTTCGTTACGGCGGCGGCAGCAGGTCCGTCGGAAGCGGTTATACATTTGTCCCTTACTCTTCACTTGCCTTTAGATATCAGTGGACATTACAATCCATCTTTTCTCTTCATTGAAAAAGGATTCGTACGCTTTCAGAGAACTCGTTTCACACGAGTCATCACCAGCAAGCCACAAACTCGAACATTAAAGGCAAGTCAAGAATTGCGTTTGATTGCCTCCTTGCATGTGACTTCCATCAGTTTTCTTTTTACGGCTGGTCTACTTAAACGACTCGCGCCACGCACTGGTTTTAAAGAAATGCTCGTCGCTCTCCTCCTCGAGAGGGTCATCGTCCCCTGACCAATACTCCCACCATATGCCTTCGTCCTCCTCCTCATCTTCCTTGTTCGCTACAGTGACAGGCCCCCCGGCCGCTTTAACCGGTCGTAAGTCCACAATCATCGCTGCTTGAAGGTAGATTTTGAGCTCTTTCCCGGGTACAGAGGAGTTCCCAAGGAATCGTTCCCCAGTCTCCAGGTTCTGCAGGAGCCTCCCGTAATTGTCCTCGTTGTACCACATGAACGGAATCTTGACTTTGTATCCAAGGGCTGGCTGGTTGTCTCTCTCCTCCTGCACGGTCAAAGCTCATTCACAGGAAGTTCCGGTTGTAACTGAAAAGCTGTTTGAAAGTTTCACGGGTATAAAAGTCACATGTCCTCCTACTCGGCTGACGTATGTGTCTGAAAAGTGCGTGCTTGGAGCCGGGCAATATTACACGGAAAGACCGATCGTTGCACATAGATCCAACGGTATTTGGCAAGCAAAAGTGGCTGCTCTCAGACGCTGTCAGCCCGGGCAACGAAGGAGAAGAAATTCTACAAGCAAGAGTAAGAAAAGCTCGCTTACTGTCAGAAACTTGTAATCCTCGTTTGTGAAAGAGAGAACTTCCACAACACACTCGTGATCCAAGAAGTCCCGGTCCCATTTGCTCACGAGAAGAATTGGAACGAAGCGGCAAGGCCAGCCTTCCCTCGTAAGAAGCTCGTAAAACATCCTGTCGCTGCCTTTCAGGCCCTGATTGACAAGGGCAAGGGCAAAGCTTTTAGAACACACTTACTGCGCAGGTAATGAGCAGGACTGGCAAGACCTTAACCTCGACCTTGGATACAGAAGAAATCAGGTCAGCGGGAAAGTTCACAATGGGCGTGAACACAAAAACATAGGCTGCACGGTAAAACTTTATTGACAGTGAATGAGGACACAAAGTCGAGGTGCAGGGTTCAGCATTTTCCTCCTGTTTCTCCATGCTTCTGTGCGGGCCTTTGTGTATTGCGCATGGGCCATTGATAAACTTGGATATCGGAAAGGAACATTTGGCCATCAGAGTGACACGTGGCAGGTTGTACAAACCTCTTTGACTGCACCGCTTTGCGTGTACTCATGTTGGAGGAGAAAGCCCACGTACGGCAGCCCAAGCGACGACAGGGTCCGCAGCTCAGCCTTGAACTGGTCACGGACAGTCTCCTGGCGGGAGTTGTCCGACTGCAGCGGAAACGCGTAGTCCTGCGCAGCAATGAAGTGCAAGTGCTCAAGAGGACCGTTTCGTTCCTTTGAACGAGCCAAGAATGTATGCGGGAAGGGAGAGTGTCCTGACTCTCTGTGCCAAACTTCAAGCGTTTGCCGTTGCAACGTCCTTTCCTCCTGAGCTGTTTCACGCTTTCCAAGCGGGACCGGCAGGATACACAGAAGATGATCTTTGAGATTAAGTGTGAAAGGAAGCACATGACTAACCGTATACGCAGTCTCGTCGAAGTTTTGATCAGTTAGTGCAGGTTCGCGCACGCGCAGGATGTGGTACGTCAGCGTGACGCGGCGACCGCTGGTCACGGGCTTGATCTCGTGCGGGCAGTCGCCAAAGAACGCAGCGAACTGGAAGAGTTTCTTTTCGCCAGACCTAGTTGCGAAATTGAACGTTTGGGTGGTGCTCCCGTGCGTCACAACCAGCTCTCCCCCGGTGAATTCGGAAGGGAGGCAGACAACGGCCGTGCCGATGAAAAGCTCCGGGTCGACCGGGGTGTCAACGTGTGGCCGGAAGAAGTCCCCGGGGCCTGGAGAAAGATCAAGTATCAAGAAGTGTCGATTCTGCAGGGGTTACGAAGGGCTCGAACAGGGAAGCGGAGGTAGCTAGACTATAATTATGAACAGATTGGAGAGTAGGGCGGGTTAATGACACTGAAAGTCTCTTGCGCCGCTGAAACAAGCAGTACAAGAAGGATCGCTTTCGCATACAGGATTTTATCTTTTAGGATTTGGTTGGTTGTTCAGTGCCTCAGGTCCGTCAGACTTGGATCCTGCCTGACACCTGTTGTACTTGGTTGCAGACGACTTGAGATTGTTACCGGTTCTTGCCGTTCTTACTTCTGTCTTCGCGGGAGTCCTATCCTCTGAAAGCTCTTTCAACTTATGTCAGAGTTCTACCTGGAAGTAGATCGAGTTGCAGAAAGGTTTCAAGATGACCCCCAGGATTTTAGGAAGTTTTAGAATGGATGGCATCATGTGAAATCACATTCAAACAAGACGCGTCGTCAAAGTCAGTCGGTTTCCAGTACGTCTGCATATGCAACGCCCTGATTGGTCGAATTTGAGCGACGGGTGGAGGTCTCACCGTAGATGTTCAGCTTGTAGGGCTCTAGGTGAACCCTTTGATTGAAGCACAGCTTTTCTATCACTGCAGCGCGCACCTTCGACTCGAAGAGGATCTGGCAAAAGCAGAAACGGGTTAAACTGGATCAGAAACCGACGGGGCCCCATTGGAACTTCTTTCCACGACATAGCGTCCTGCCTTGGAGCCAGGATGTCAGTCATACTTGCGAAGTACGACGGCAGGAACTTTTTGCGAACCAAAAGCTTGAGCACAGGACGGTGCCTTTAGGCGGAATCACTTGAGCTGGTTGCATTTTACCTTGCTGTTGCGAAGGTCCCACTTGTCGCGTGCCCTCCTGATGACGTCGGCCGGCTTCTCCAGCTTGAAGCGGGCCTCCAAGGCCCGGCGCACCGAGGGGTCGACTTGCGTGGACTCGTTGAGAAGGTCGCCGTAGGGGGCTGGAGAGCAGTACTGTTCAAGCAAGTCGACGTTCAAGTCCTGTAGCGGAACCTCCAGGACATCTGCATTGCTCTCCTGCTACGAAAGAAAAAGCGCGAGCCTAAGGAGTGCTTTGATTTAGCAACGCATAAAGAGCTGTTCAAAATCGGTACTACTTGCTGACATAAGCCACACAGAGCCAATTGTATTTGTCGTTGCAAAGAATAAAATTTATGCCCTTGTTCACGCAGGTAAGGTAGCTTTACGGAAAGGAATGGAAAGGCTCTCAGCACTACCTTGATTCATACTATGTACTGGCTGAGCATTGTTTCTTTCCACTTCAGTCTTTCGCTTTCAAACTTGAACTTGAGTCAATCAGACATGCTTCCGCCAGCTTTGAATCACTGGATTTGTCGGCGTCTTGTGACAAACTAAGATACATCAGCGCTCAACTCGGAACAAGAGAGTTCAATCGAAGGCTTGCCTGGCCACTTGGCTCTTCCTCCTCGGGTTTGATGCTCAGCACAACGTGCTCTAGGTCGTGTCTCTCAAATTCATTTGCGGCCCCATAACAAAACAGACAATCGCCCCTGCCAATCCCCTTGGCATATCCTGCTGCCCATCCTAGATGCACCTTCACCTCGCGGAAGTCTATCCCCAGCCCTTTGCACAGGTTATTGCACTGCTCATAATCCCATCTCATGCTTGCTTCGACCTCATCAGCGCCATAGTCCAAAAACTTGACAAAATCGTAGTCCTCTGCAACGTGGCACAGCCAACCCAGCTTGTTACTCAAGGGTTTCCCCGTGATAGGTCCGACCCTCCCGAACCTGCTTCAGGACATCTTTGAATGTGACGTACTCTCTCCAGTCCTCCTTCATCCTCAACGTCCTTCCCTTGCCGTCCTCGGACTCAGTGATTTCCCACTGCTCTGCTGGACTAAGTCTCCGCTTTTTCCCGCTTTTCAGAGCCTCCTCCATGTTTAGATACCCGTCAATTGACTCCACAAATTCGCAGGGCTCCATGAGCGGAAGACCATCTAGTGTCTCGGGTTCCAAGCTTCCCTGCGAGCCAGTCAAGGCTTTGCAGTAGATCAGAGAGCACGAATCACGCACACTTTGCCTGATTGCTGTTAAGCGTTTCCAGGTTTTCCATTGCCCTGAGCCAAGCTGAGCAAGCTGCGATGGGATTTTCATAGTATAGCTGCAACTCAACTGTCTAGAAGGCAGGCTGCATGCGGTTGCGGTCAGTCTTTGCAGGCCTGCCAGATGAGGCACGGAGCGCCCGCAGCTGGACGCCATCTTTATCTAGAGCTTTGCAGCTGCATGAAGCTTTCAAGGTAACTTAGTAGGAGCCTGTGCTGGCCGGTTCAGAGGTTTGGATAAACCTCGCGCGTTTGCGGGCGTGACCGCACGAAGGTACGTCACTCAGACCGCGGCCCCGCGCACATGAGCCCGCCTCTGATCGGCCGACGGCCGCGGCCGCGGCCCACGGTCACGTACGACGGTACGTGCAACTTGGCAAGCATCGTCATGCAGGCAGGTCCGATCGCCTCTGAGCTATTGCCATCCGGCCGCGGCAGCGGCATGGCAGCGGCAGGCGGCCGGCCGGCCCCAATGCCCAGATGTTTCCCATACGTCCTGACCGTACGTCTGCAAATCTTTTCCATTTTAGTTTTCGTAATGAGTTTCAAGCTTAATGGGTTTGTTTCAGTAAATAAGAAAATCAATGTTCATTCTGCAGCGACTTCGTTTAATCTCGTAAGCTACGAAGGCAGATTAAATCTGGGCTTATGCAAGCTATGGTTTCTACGAGTGAGATTACAATGCAAAGCATGACGCACAGTAAAAGAGAGCGTGGCAGAGGTATAGCCATTTTCAAACAACGTCCCTGCAGGCTAGCTCACGTGAAGTTGGTGTGAGAGCAATAAAATTCAGTTCGTCAAAAAAACGTTGACCTCGTATAATGTACATGATCAACGTGATGCTCAACTTTGTTGGTCATTTGTCGTGCATCTGCACTATCTACTACCTTGTCAGTGTTTCTAACCGGCAGACAATACGCAACATCTAACGTATCTCGTTACAACATGGTGGTAATTTGCAGTGGAGACTTTTCGTAGAGGTCGTCTGCATCTGAGTGCACCTAGCTGATTACCTCCACGCGCTAGGCGAATACTAGCAGCGCTTAAAAAATAAACAATTGGCCCCTGATATTGACCAGTGGCAAGAACGCTTCTATATATTGCCCGGAACGCAGGATTGGGATGCCTTTCCAGAAACATGATGCTCTCGATCTCAAGCATGCCCGGCATTTTCCACATGCGTAAGAACAAATGCTCGACCATCTTGTCTGACATGAGGCCTCATCTTGTGACCATTCAAAAGGATAACTGCTCTATCTGCGTGAAAGGCGTTTGGCACGTGTCTCAAGCCTTCTTCATTTTGCTGGGGTAATCAGTAAGGCCACGGCATCTCTACTGCGAGCGTTAGCGGTGTCTCTGGTGCGCAGATCCACAATCATAACTGACTGCAGATATATCTTCAGTTCTCTGCCCGGCATGGATATGTTTCCCATGAATCTTTCACCGTCCAGTATGCACTCGACTAGCCTCCGTTCTTGTGGCTCGCTGTACCACATAAACGGGATCCGGGCCTCGAATCCATGGGTCGGCGCACTTTCTGCAGCTCCCTGAAAAACGAACGAAGAAAGAAGTCACCTCTGTAATTCCTTCCCCTTAGCGTGCTAATTCGACCTTGTGCTCCAGCAACCTACACGTTGACCATTCGAGCAACCTAAACGCTGACTGTTATTATTGTTCAACGCAACCATGTGCGGCTGGACAGACCGTCCAGATTTTTCTAAAGATGTCTTCCCCGCAGCATGTGTATAACGTTGTTTGCTGAATACGCCTACGACTCAGGATCAGCAGAGATGGAAGATTCTCTATTTGCACGCAAGGTGAACGAGTTTAACTATCAGAATTGTGAGCGGGAAGCACGGTAGGACGAAGGAAAACGTTTGTCGATGGAGCCTGATCATCTCTTCTTCGTAGCTTGACGAGTTCGGCCAGGAAGGAGAATACTGAGAGCGGCGAAGTCCAATGGAGAAGGACTGCGCCTCACAAAAGCGCTTGAAATCAAATGAATGTGCTCTCATGTCATTCAGAAAGCGTTTCTGAAGGTATCTGACGCAGGCAATAAAGTCTCACCCTCAGAAAGTCGTAGTCATCATTGGTAAATGACAGCACTTCCAGTGTGCACTTGAAATCGCTTTCACTAGAAAACCTCGTCCCTCTGTTCCATCTCCTGACCACGAGTACCGGGACGAAGTGGCACTTCCAGCCAGCCGCGGTGAGAAGCTCGTAGAATAATCTGTCACTGCCTTTCAAACCCTGCAAAAGCACCAAAGCCTTGTATTCAGGCACGCTCGCTGATTATCATCTTCTGAGCGGCAACGGATCAAGAGGACATTCTTCCTTGTAAAGTGGAACGATCTGCAAACATGAGCTCAATCCTTTCAGAGAAGGGCCGTTTGACGTCTAAGGGGGTAATGAGCAACCGCCCAGTATAGGCACCCTGCAAAAGAGATATCATCTGATCTGTGACTACGATGCAAAAATGGCTCGCCATCAGAAAAGCGAGCCCCCGCGGAGCTCCTGCAGAAGCGCGTGTTGCGCTCGTGCTGAGGCCGTACGAAAGAGCAAGTGTGGAACGTGGCAACCTGGCTCGTAGGTGTCTCTTACGGGCCTCTCTTTGTCCCTAGAGAATTGAAGTAAGCGGATGCTGCCACCTGCCGAAAAGTCTTACCTTTTCCGAGATTCCCGCCTGGGTGTAACCATGCTGGAGAAGAAAGCCCACGTACGGCAGTCCAAGAGACGAAAGGATCCGCAGCTCGGCCTGAAATTGGTTGCAAATCTGCTCTTGACAAATGTCGTCGGCTTCGACAGGGAACACTTCTTCCTGTTGGAAAAATGGTAAGCGTCGACGAGCCTTCTTGCTCCGATGGTCCTTTGGTCCCACGAAAGATCGACAATCTCAAAGTCTGGTCAAATCTTGAATGCGGTTCTGCAATCTGAATCCTGTGCCGCTCAACAAGGCAAATCGGCCCCTAGGTAGGAAGCGGCAACTCTGTTTTCTTTTTCTTCTTACTGCTTTATAGTGATAGAAAAATGTGGACGGAGCAGCCTATGAAAGAGTGGATGTGCATTCATCATCGGACATCCGGTCCGCTGACGTCACGGGTCATCATAAGCAGCCCAAAGTGGAAGGAGAGACATAAAATACAAGACTCGACCTCAGTGCTTACCGGGCTGAACTCCGAATCATCATTTTCAAACGTGACGTTGGGGCGCTTTCGCATGATGTGATACGTCAGCGTGATGCGATGGCCGCTGGTGACCGGCTTTATTTCGTGAAGGCAGTCCCCGTAAAACGCGGCAAACTGGAAGACGGCTTTGTCGTTGGACTTAGTTGCGAAGTCGAAGGTGTGGGAAGCATCCACGTGCGTAACGATCAGCTCCCCCCCGGTGAATGGCGACGGGAGGCAGACGACAACCGTCCCGATGAAAAGCTCAGGGTCGACGGGGGTGTCCACGTGAGGCCGGAAGAAGTCTCCGGGGCCTGCTCAATCGAAGGGGATCAAGCATAAGGATTTCTGTCAGAATTCGATCGCAATGGGCCTGCCGATGCTCGTCAGAATCGGGACACGCTAAGAAGCTGAAGTTTCAGTTTGCATGTTGGATAAATTTCGTACATGGACTCAGCCAGATGCCAACGCAAGTTTGATCAGCGGGAAAGGATCATTTGACATTACTACCAAACACGGATTCAAAAGTCCGGCCTCTAGCTAGCCCAACGTTGACAATAGAGGACTTCAAAGATTCTGGCGCGTCGAGCCTGCAAGCGAGCAGTTCCTTCCGTTCATCTTCCGAAGTTTGTCACCAGGACAGAGGTTCCGAAATTGTGAAGCATTGTTTCGTGCGAAACGAGACGCCTCACCATTAATATTCAGCTTGTAGGGGACCAATTTGATTGCTTGATTGAAGCAAAGCTTCGCTGCCACAGCGATGCGGATCAAGGCTTCAAAGCAAGGCTGCAAAGGGACCAAAGACCTATGTCGAAAAGTCAAGTTACCATTGGAAGCTGACATCAGAACCGTTTCGGAGGAATTTTGTGGGACTAAGACGCTTGCAAATAAACTTGAAGCGAACAAGACGCTCAATCATGCTTGGCCCTAGTCACTAGCAGTGCTTCTTGAAATCTTAGACGGAGACGGCCTCACTTTCACGGTCACACTCCAGACCCGCCTTTTGCGCAGCTTAAACACAAATATAAATCTGAAGCTGCAAACGTTCTGTAGACGCTGCTACAACCAGTTAAACACATCAATCCGCCCCAAAGAGGGCGGCAAGCGCACTCAAAGTCACTATCGTGCAGCTCGATAAGTCGGCCAGCTTGAACTGCTGAAGAAAGTGTGGCCGTTGGAAATGCTGACCAAACTGCAGAACATTATGCATTTACACCAGACCTTTAGTGACGCCAGAACCACTGAGCTTGGCAAGACCTCATTACCTTTCTGTTCCGGACTCTCTCAACAAATGAGCTTTGGTTCTCGTCCTCTTCTTCCTTACGTGCCTTGAAGCGCGCTTCAAGAGCGCGCCGCACCCCGGTGTCCACCTGAGTTGACTCGTTGAGCAGGTCGCCATAGGGAGAGGGGGAGCAATACTTAGGGACCGTTTCCACGTCTAGCTTTCCCAGCGGAATCACCAGGCAGTCCTCGGTGCCCTGCAAGGACTCGCAACGATTAGATTTGTGTCCTGAGCTGGCGTGAGACCTTTATAAGAACTCTTCTCAACGTTGCCTGTTTCAATCAAGAAGCAAGAAGCTGGTAAGAGCAGCTGGCTAGACATGGAGAGAGTGTCTCCAAAGCGCACTATCAAGCGCATCAATTGAGTTTGAGGAATGCAGCCAGTTTTGTACTGAATGCACCGCGCGTCGCTGCGAGCCCTTACGTCTAAACCGCAGTCCAACACGTGTGGAGAAAAAGCTTCGCCTGCCGGCCCCTCCCGCCAGATATGCAGCATGGCATGTTTCGAATCATGCTCGTCCAGCCGGTTCACAGCTCCATAGCAGAAAAGACTGTTCCCTCTGTCAATCCCCTTCGCATACCCGGCCGCCCATGCCAGATGCAGCTTCACTTTCTTGAAGTCTAAACCCATCTGCTTGCACATCTGGCGAGTCTGTTTATGGTCCCAAGCCATGCTAGCTTCAAAGTCCATGTATCCAAGATCGTAGCCTCTGACTTCCTTGTGATCTTCTGCGGCATAGCACACCCAGCCTAGCAAGTTTTCTAGCTTTCGCCCGTCGCGCATTGCACCATTCTGCACCCGTTCCAGAACGTCTCTCAAACCAACATAGTCTTCCCTGCCCTCCTTATATCTGAAGTACCTCACGCCGCCTGCAGAGTGGGAATATACAAAGTCGGACTCCGCTTTGAACGTCTGCAAATTCCAACCGCGTATCACTTCCTTGTCCAAGTACCAGCTCTGTTCCCTACTTGACTCGTCCAAAAGGAAGTGCTGATTGATAGCTTCCGAAAAGCTGCAAGGCTCCATAAGAGATGGGCTACTTTGCTGATGCACATCAGCTTCTGAGCTCCCAGTGGACTGAGTGCCCTGACGTGGGACCCCATCTGACGACTTGCCTCCCATACATTTGCTCTTCGAGAATTGGATACTTCGCTGAGCAGGACTGATGCGACCGGATCTTGAAACTAGGAGCTGCAGCTGGTGATTATCTGAGCGGGTTCCACGTTGGATTCCATGCTTGTGACTCCCTCCAAGTTCAGACTGCTGTGCGGGGCGGCATATCGTGCCAGGACTGGCGACGAGGTGGCCATTAAATGTTGCTCTTGCCAATGATGCCGGCGCCATCAGTGTCCACGGTTGCCCTTGAGACTTCAAACATTCTTCCTTATGTTTGACACGGCTGATGCAGTCGTGTCAGCTGCATGTCCAGGGGCGAAGGGCGCGGCGGCTGATCGACAGCCGCCGCGCGCTGGCGGCTGGCGCGCGTTTGGCCACCAGGGTTTGTGGGGTTTGGTGTTGAGCACTCGCTGCTCGCGCCGAATCATTGGATGTTCATGAGTTGGCAAACCAAGTCTGAAGTGAGCACACATGCGACATGTCATGGCGGCGATGGCAACTGATTGCCCAGGCAAGCAACAGGAGGGTGGAGAGAAAAGCGACGGGTCTTGATCAGCTTTCAGGATGAGCTGGTGCTCAACATGGTGGTCATTTGGAATGGGGTCCTGGAAGTCACGAGGTAAGGAAAGCACAGCGGCGTTTCGAGCACTCCCTCTCAAATGGGGGATAGCGCGAATGATGGCAATTGCCCCGGAGGATCTATAAAGTCAGACATTTCAATGTTGTCAGACCTTGGACGGTGTCTATGTTCAACATGTCCTGACGTAATGAGCAATCCACTGTAAGAAAACGAAATGGCTGGGGGTTAGTGGTCCTTATGCAGGGCATTGGCGTTTCATCTCATTCAGAAGCACAAGATTGTCCATCACTGACAAGCCCCATCATTTCTGTTTGCAGGTGGGTGCAAAGATCCAACGCTGGTCATCTTGTGAAATTACTTGAAGTCCGCAGCACGCACTCCTTTGTAGTACACACTTGAAGGACCTGGTGCATACCTCAATCAGTCGCTGCCATAAACCCACAGGTTACACTTGCGCAGAGGACTGAATTCATAAATTCTGGGTCCCTCTTCCTGGGGGAAGTTTGAACGAAGCTTGATTGTTTAGAAGGCAAATATATGCCCTATGAGAAAGAGTCTAGCAATGACTAAGCAGTAATCGGCAAAGCCTCGTCGGAATCACACCTGACCTCATCAAACAACGGCAGCTTGTGAGGAGTCAGCGTCCTGAGTAAACCTTCAAGTACCGGCAGGCTTCATTACTGTTTGTCCAATCATGGGGAACGCCTCAAGCACCCGGAAGCGGGTGAAAGTAGACGATCAGTACACCCGGCCTCAGGGGCTCTACCCCGACAGAGAGAGGGATGTCGATGCAAAGAAGCTGCGTCGCCTAATTCTGGACGGTGAGGTCTTACGAGCTTGCCACCTCCAAATGATCAATGATCCACCCAAAAAGACATGTATTTAAAAGATTGCCATCACCTAGCTGGGCCCGAAGTTTGTTTGGATACATGCTCACAATATTGTTTTGTTCCAAAGACTATTAGCTGCCCTGGTCAACGGACCTCAAGAGAATAACTCTTGTACTGTCGCCCAACAAACATCAAGCTAAGACCCTGGCACCAGCAGCTTTTTCGCCAGTCAGGAAGTGGCTTTGAGGGTGAAAGACGTCTCACTGAGACTTCAATTGACATCAAATGGCAGAGTGGCACTCAATGGGCTTGCTGATTGTTTGTTTGAAACTTGAAAATATAGCGGTTACGGGCGACTGCGTGAGAGGAACACAAGTTTCTGCAAATGCAGGGAACATTTTGTTCAAGTTCAGGCAGGCTTGAGCAGCTTGGAATAATTGAACGTAATATGTCAGTTTGTTGTCCCGCTGTCTGTGAGCTGATGCAGATCAAATCTCGTTTCGGATTGTATTCTCAGGGAGCGCCAGCTTTCAAGCATTCACGGACTGCCTCTCCAGAGACAAGATAGTAACGCTAACAAAAGCACGTGTAAGCATCATTGACTACAGATGCTTGTGTTCATCTGGCAACTCTCAGAAGCGCTGGGCCAGCATTGCATCTCACAGGCTCAGGGGACCTGCGTTTTGAATTGCAGGTAAGCTGGCGCCTTGCTTTCCCGGCAGGGAGGAGCCACACCTGGACCTTGAGGAGTGCCCCATCTGCTTCCTGCACTACCCCAGCCTCAACCGCTCACGCTGCTGCGGCAAGGGCATATGTACAGGTCAGAGCTTGGTTCCTCCAGCGCTACGTTTTAAAGTGACCCTTTTAGACAAGTTTGAGGTGTCTGATCTAGCCGACGTGGCTGCTTTTGAGGACACGATGTTCTTGAAGTGTCTGACAAAATACTTTGTGTTTCCTACTGGCCCTGATAACCTGCTTCCGAGGTTTTGTAAACTGGAAGAGGTAATCCTTCTTTGCGTTGGTCGTAGCATAGCTTTCCAACCACTACGGTTCGCTGACGAATGTTTGTTCAAGTTGCACAGCCCAATTTCGGGTCCTTCCTTTTGCAACTGAATTTAGGCGTTCTGCGTTGGTCAAGATCTGTTCCAAAGCTCGTCGTCAAAGGCTGTCGCCTGCTTACTTCAGAAGGCGTCCTCTCAGGGTTCTGCTTTCATTGTTGTTGACTATGATAAGGTTCTGTCTCACTCCTCGTGCCACAGGGAGCACGTGTCAACTTGATTTATCCACAGTAGGTGAGGAAAATTGGCCCTTTGAATCCCTCATCATTCCTTGTCATCCCTTGTCTCTGCCACAGAGTGCTTCCTCCAGATGAAGTCGCCGATTGCGTCGCGACCGACACAGTGCCCATTCTGCAAGACTCCCGGTTACGCTGTCGAGCACGGCGGGCCCAAGGACGCAGCACTGAAAGAACTGGAGAAGGCAGAAGAGCAGCACATTATCGAGGCTAAGATCAGGATGCAGCAGGAGGAGCAGGCAAAAGCGGTGAGGGCATCACAAAGGCTTGGTTCGCCAATTGGTCAAAGATCGCGTCAGGAACAGGTCTCGATCTTCAGTTACTAAGTTCGAGGTCTGAAGCGAATGTTATATCGCCTTTCTGAGATACATGTCTACCGAGCTTTAAGACCCTGAGACGGCTAAGACCGCGTATACGAATTACAAGGATGTACTTGCTTCCGTCGTATTAATCTGATGACAGCTTTACCTGCAGCAGTTCCACCTACGCCGTACAACGAACACATGCCTTTTTGGAAGGAGGGTAACGCTGTGTCCTTTTGCATCTGTCAAGAACATGCAGGGAACGTTACGTTTCGACTTCATTACCATCCAACGCAGGAAACCGTCCAGCTCGTTGCTTTGAGGTCCGCTTCTGTTTTAGAATGAATCGTTTGAATCTGTATCCGAGTAGGCATGCACTTCCAGAAAGCAGCATAAGGCTTCACCGGATTTTGGTACTCACTACCTCGAACATTGTGCAGGAGGAGCGTGCCAGAAAGCGTGAGAAAGACCTTGCAGAAGGCCGCGTCCCTGACCCCCCTTCGCCGACTCTCTTCCCGGCATCCCCCCCAACATTCCCCGCGTTCCCACCCCCAGCTTCCACCCAATCTCCCCAAAGTGTAAATACGCCCCCACAGACCAGGAGCCAGTCGGCTCAACCGGGCCATGGGAGTTCGGAGCGAAGTGGAAGCGGTGGGGGCCGCAGAAGGAGCTCGCTCAACCGGCGGGTTTCGGCAATCGAACCGGACAACCTGTGGTTCAGGGCTGGCAGCGCTCAGGTGCGACGTACTCCCTTTTCGAAATCCCATAACCCCTTGACTCTCCGTTTCGTCTATTGTTTCTTCTCTGTTTCGATCTCTCTCCTCTCACAACATACACAAGCGTATGCGGTCTGACAAGTGAGACTTGTTGCTTTCGTTTCTCGACTATATGAATGCATTGCTGAGGAAGTCTTTTCAAATGTAATTTCTGTT